GAAAGGAAAAACTGAAACAAGATTTTCAAGGTGTCTGAAAATTAATGACTAAATTTCGCTGCAGCTCCTAGATGAAGAAAGAAGATGTTGAAAAAAGTTCCCAAGAAAAGTTGATGGAAATGTCAATGAGATATTTAAAACCATGTCTTTCTATGACACTACAATTTCGCTTGATTTTATGCATAACTTTGTGAGGGGGAATGAAGAACAATTTCTGCAAAATGTATGCATCAGGGATTTGCATGAAAACAAGCATCTGCCAAATATTTAAACAACCAGCCATAAGTGCAGACAACTTTATCAGCAAAGCAACAATAAAAACACTTGGGCAGCTGGTCAGCCACTCATATGAAATTCATTTCAATTAAATGCAATAAATTAAATATAAATCCAGCACAGACTATCTAGCCATATGCCTCTGCAGCATGACCCCCAAAAATGTTGCATAATTAATTAGCAAAGCATGTGGCGAGAGAACAAGGTCAACACCAGAATTCATTTCGTTTACAAAGACTGCACATTATGCAGAAAATAAGATGCGAACTTAAGTATCAGATAGTTTTTAATTAATGAGGGCCGGTTCTTCAATACCTCAAAAACATATGTTTATTATAGTAAAACATATGTATTGGTTTAGTGGATTGAAATTCTGAAGAGTTTAATTGTGAAAACCATTTTTTGTTATGTTTATTATTATTATTATTATTTTAATAAAAACGAGGCAGATTGTTTACTTAAAAATATAAATTTTTTGTTAGGGTTAACAGAGTCATTACAGCATGTAGTAAAAGACTTAGCAAGAAACTGTAAGTTTACTACTGTTTAACATAATACGTTCAACATTAAAAAAAATTTTTCAATATATGAAAAAGAAATTTTTAATTGTAGAAAGTATTATTTGTATTGTATTATTTCACACTTATATTACTTGGGCTCATTTAAAATTTTGTTGTGACAGTCTTATTTATGTAAGCCTATTTAATAGCAAGAAAAAAAAAATTTCTTGTTTCCAAATGAATCTAACATTATTTAAAAATTTTCCTACGACCGTCTGCTTTTTAAAACTCCTTGCATTCCAACACACCCATTAACACCCTCTAAAAACCACCCACGCGATTTGCTTACAAAGCTCTCAAGTGCGCTAAAGAGTTCTGAACGGCATTTTTGGTCCTTTGCCATGCGAATACGAGAATACGAACCCACAAGTGGCATCTCATTGGTATCCATCTAATGACATCCAGCTAGCAGCTGTCAAACAAGGATGATGACTACGAGTGACTCAATCTTTGACTGACAGCCAACAGAATTCTAAAGCATTTTAATTGCTGTCTCAACTGGCGCTGCTGGCTCAGCTTTAGTCGTAGCTATAGCTTTAGCTTTTGCCCGATGCATGCGGAATGAAAGGGCATTAATATGATGACCTTGCACTCAGTCAGTTGGAAAGTGAAAGTGAATGGGGGTGAATGGGGGTGCTGGCTGCCGGCTGAAAAGCGAATTTGCATAATTTGCATGCAGCGGGGATGCGATGCAATTGCACTCAAACCAAGCATGGAATTTAGTTGTTAGCGAAACTTGCTGACAAATTGTGGCCCAGTCAACACCTCAAATCCCAGACCCGCCCACAGTTTTAGCCATATTCCGTAGTTTTCCCTTGCACTTTACGTCTGTGCGGCGTCTGTGGGGATTTCTGGCTAAAAGGACGAAGGAGGCTAAAAAGGACGACGGAGGCTAAAAGGATGAGGGCGGCTAAAGAACGTCGACAATGTTGGCGACGACGCTGTGTTGACGACTTTTACCATTGAGACAGCCAAAGTTTTTATGGCAATTTTCATCAGAGCCAGACACTTGAAGTGGGTCCCCATCCTCGCTGTTGGCAGTTGCATGAATACGCAAATTTTAACATAAATTGCAACCAAGTTACACTTTTTCTTTCATTCGCATTTCCCCCATAGGCCCAGCTTGAATAAAGTGGAAAAGTTTTCATCGAAAAAACACATAATATGAAAATAAAATGCCACAACTTAAACTATGTACTGTAAAATGCAGCTTAACGCAGGAATAATAAAATCTAGAAAACAAGTTCACAACATTTAGTGTGAGAAGCTTTTCACTTAAGTTTCTTGCTCCAAAAAATTAACTTATGAATTAAGAAAATATATTATACATTTGTTTGTCTTTGCGTTCATATCGCTTTACATTTTTAGAAGAATTCATCAATTCAGTTGACTAAAAGCAGCAGCACGAATTCACAATAAATCATCAAATTAAAACACTAACCAAAAAAGTGTTTCAAAGCTTTCTAGTTATTCAATTGTGTTCTAATGATGACAATAATTATGAATTTATATATTTAAACTTAAGCTGGATATACATTACCAAAAAGTTAAAAAAATTAAAGTCTTTTGTGAGAGTGAATATGGAAATGTTTTGGTTCCAAGAATTCAGCTGTAAGAAATTTAATATGCAACTGGAATCCAACTCAACAGTTTATGACTCAATTAGCATTATTCATGCTGTTGCCACTCGAATTGGTCTCTACCCTTCTGGCATCGTTTTTTCTTTCCAATGTGTGAAAATGCACCAAAAGAAAGCAAACTATCAAAAGCTCAATATGTGTACAGGACACTTGTTTCAGATCCTGTGGCCAGACAGCTCTAAAATGGAGCTGGTGAAGATACAAAATATGAGGAAAACTCGGAAAATGTCAACACACAGCCATGGCAGAAAAGGAGGAAGGCAAGCCGAATGCACAGATTTCATGCAGCTCAATTTTGCAGGATTTACCGGATCGCCAGGACCTCAGACTTGGACAGGTGTCCTGCCTCACCCATTAGACGACCCTTAGCTGAGCTTTTAAGCAGCATGCCTGGAGGGACTTTACTCGATGGGCGAAAGATTGGAACTAGTATGACCCGGATACGCATGGTGTGAGTACGGGTCGATATACCATAGTCTCCGACATCCATCCATATCCGTTGGGCATCCGGGTGTCCGGTTGATTGCTCATCAGCTTCGACTGGCGTTTGGCTTTCAGTTTCACACTGTTGCAGAGCAAATAACATTTTTACAGTCGCTCTTTGATTTGATTTTGAGTGCAAACCTGATGGATGCGGATTGATCATTGCCCCACGGCTATGGCACCGGTGTCGGTTCGAAGTCAGCACTTTGGTTGCAACTTTGCGGCAATTTTTATTTACCATTGGCAATCCTTTTTGCCATACTTCTTGGGGGTTCACTGAATTTTCGCCAGCGCCATGGCTCCCATCCCCTTGTCCTGCATCAGACTTAATTAAGTTTTTGTCCTGGCCCCGCCGTTGTCTATGTTGCTGCTCTGTGGCATTGTTTACATGCCAGCCAAATGCACAAGCTGCAACAAAAAAAATCACAAAAATATAAAAATAAATAAAAGCTGAAAAGTTGAAAATGTGCAACAAAGTACGGGGCACAATTTATAGGGTGCCGAGTTATGAAGGTTCTTTGAATTTTAAAAGTGTTGGAATAATTTGTATATCTAAAAAGCAAACTTTGTGTAAAAAACATCATATCTTTTAAAATGCCTCATAAAAAATGTTGTATTAAATCATAAAAAACAATTTATTTATTTATTACTTCAAGCTTAATTTTTCAAAAACCATCGGCATTGAAAATAAGCTTCTAGGGAAACAAAATTACTTAAATTCTGTGAAAAAGAAAGCAAATTAGATACTGAAAAATAAATAAATGAGAAAATGATTGTCAATAGATGTTAAATAAAATTGTATCCAATTCTTTTCTGTCGTTTATACCTTATTTCCAAGAACACAATAACAAAGAATAGATAAAATAAATTCCCATTAAAAATGCTGTGCAACGAAAGCTTGACGAATGAGTGGAGAACGGGCCAAACTTGGTTAAATAATCATTGTCTACTTTCGCTTTAAGCACCTTCTAATTGCCTTTGTTAATTTGCGAGCATATTTCACTGGGAAGTGGCTTTAAATCGCACAGAGTGGGGAAAACTCTGTGCGGAGGTAACCGAAACCGCGACCAAAACCTAAACCAAAGCGGACAATGAAGCGTGAAAAGCGGAAACGGAAATAAAGCGACTGCAGTGGGACTGACTCCAGAGCTCCAGATCCTGTGGCAGGACATCGCCACCGCCATTGTCACGTCACTTGCCACGCGGTGGTCATTGTCCAGTGTCCCTTCTCCACAGGCCATTGTGCACTTGGTTTTTCCGCGGAGGCAGTGACAACATGGAAAGACTCAAAGAAGCGGATGGAGGCGTTTCCCTGGGGCTCCACCGTACGGTCTGCCCTGCGTTTGACTGCTGCAATTTGCACGCAGTGGTGGCGCCGTTTGTTTATTCTCTCTATTGGTTGATCCTTTTGCCTTTGGTCACTTGAGTGAGCTGAAGATGTACGGCTATTTGCAGAGGCGACTTTAAGAAAGATAGACTAGTTGAAACCTTGTTAACTAAACAATAAAAGGAGAATTTATAAGAAGGAAAGAAAGATTCGCCTAAAAGGTATGCAATTAATATATTCCTAATCGTTTTGATTAATTAGTTACATTTTTTATAAAAGATGTAAGTCTACGTCCTTTATTAAAACAATTGTTTAAGTGTGTTCTAAAGTACCTATTTTACCCTATAATTCTACTTATTTCCAAATAAATATATCTTACATGACCAACATATTATAATTTCCCAGTTGTACAGTACCTAGATCTTGAGTAAAGTAAAGCGAAAATCAGATTTTCCTAATCTAGCTTAGTTACCTTACAACTTTTATGATAACGCAGCTGTTGCTGATCCTAATAATTAGCACACCCTACGTGTCATAAACAGATTAGGGAATTTGAATATCCCACATGCAGATGTTATGCCACCCAAAGGCTGCACGATACCTGCGACAGGTAAAGACTTCAACTACCTGTTACCCTTTGGCTATAGTTTGTATATAAGCCCTGCCGATGTGGTTGAAATTATCATTCAGCTACTGAATCTTGTCCTAGACACATCTCAGTATTTCTAAAACAATTGTGAAGAACAATCAGTTATCAATTATCAGCATACAAAAATCCTCAACAGCAGATTCCAACTCAGAAATAGGCAATCTAAAGATTTGCTACCTATACAAACTTTGAAATATCCTCAAGTTTAAAAAATCTTAACCATAACCATGTACGACGACGAGCCAATCTCCAGCTTTGTGTTTTCCAACGAGGAGACGACGCAGACCTTCCACCACCAGTGGTTCGCCCAGGGTGAGTTGCACGAGTGCGCCACCTGCTTCAGCTCCATCCACGCAGATGAGCCACCATCCCAGCACTGGCTGCGTGGAGGAGAAGCATCCCAGGGCCTGCAGCTCACCAAGCAGCAGCAGGCTGTCCTGGACATCATCGAGGCCCGCCAGATCGAGACCTTCTTCTTCTGCGACGAGAGCTCCAAGGACAAGCTGGACCACTTCATGGGGGAGACCTGTGCCCGGGGAGTGCCCGAGCTGCTCCGCTGGATGTTCCAGAACAACACCGTGGCCGTGGAGTTCAGCCTGGCTTGCTATGTGAACTCCATGGACCAGGTGCTGATCTTCCAGAGCGGTTCCCTGCGGGTGGACCACCACTACGACGTGGACGAGTGCGTGGGAGTGGTCTACGAGATGCTGATGCAGAGGATCGAGAACTATCTCCACTGCAGCAGTGAATACGGGATGGCCGAGTGCAGCATCACCAGATTGAAGGTTCAGGTCAAGAGGATTCGGGTGGATGCGGAAAGCCAGCCGGCGGAGTCAGCCCTCTTTGCACTGCCCCTGCAGCTGAAACAGGATGAGGGTCTGTCCACCAAATCCACATCCACCACCAGCGAATCGGAATTGGCCAGCCTGCGCTCCGCCTACCTGAAGCACTTCCGCGAATGCAACGGCTACTTCCCGCCCAACATGCGGGTCAATCTCTACGGACTGCAGCAGTGCAAGACCACCAAGGAGCTGTATGTGGTGCCCTATCATGTCAGCGAAACCCTTCAGCAGCTGCCCAACAAGAACTTCCTCATCCTGAACAACATAATGGGGCAGTTCCAGCGGCTGCACGAGCTCTCCACCCCCGTGAAGTCCCTCGAAAGGGACCAGCTCAGCTCGCCACTGAGGGAACTCCACTGCCGGAGGTGTCGCACCCAGTTCTCGCGGAGCAGCAAACTGCACATCCACGAGAAGCTGCGCTGCGGCCAGGACTTCTCCGTGGACAGCATGCACGCGGACATCGTGGAGATCTACGAGCAGTGCCTGCCCATCTCGAGGAGCGTCTTCCAGTATGCCTGCTACGGCATCACCAAGCCCAAGACCGTGATGCGGAAGGGCCAGTTCGTGCCCATCGAGTGCGACTGGCGCAGCGAGAGCTCCGTGAAGGTCCAGCACGGACCCTGTGTCGTCATCAGCAACGCCCAGCACAGCAGTCCCTGTAAATTCTATTAATAAATAAATACAGTTTAAGCAAGAATAACATTTTTTATTTTTTGGGGGCGGGAAAGTAGTTCAAATAATTATAGATTGAACAATATTACAACTTTTGGGAAGGATGGTGTTTATTTTGGGCCAAAACAAAAGCAACCCATCCGTTGGGCAACAAAACTTATAAACACCTCCCTTTATCATTTGTAGTATTCTTAAATATGACTATTTTTCATAATAATTTAAATTGGCCCATAAAATGTGAAAACTGGCACTTTGTTAAAACGAATCTCCTTACTTGACCCCAAATCAGTTTAGGTCTTAAGCTTAATCAATAAATAAACAATTTAAGAAGCTTCCGTAAAAATTGCCAGAATAATTAGAGATATTCTCGCATCCGTTAATTTAAGCTTCGAAAACGATGAAGAGAAATGTTACAAATGCACAGCAAAACAAAGTCAAACAAAACCGTTTTCCGCGAATCACCCACACATCGCACCACAAGCCATTTATTGCGGTTTAATTCGCGTGGCTAAGAGCCAAAAAAAAGATAGATGGAAAAGTCAAAACTAACAGCTTTTCCTCTTTCGGCCAGTTGCTAATTAGTCAGCGGTTTTGAAGAAGGAAGGAAAAATGGGAGAAATCCTTTAATTTGATAGCATTGGACATTTGCCTTTGATATTTGAGAGCTTTATGAAATAAAATTGTTACAGAGATTTTTTTGCAAATAAAAAAATCATATTGAAATCATAAAACAGAAAACGGTTAGTCGTGAGCTGTAACGTCACAAAAAGTTTTAGTTGTTAAAGACGTATAATCTAAATATTTTGTTATCATTTTTCAAATATTTCTAAAAAGGCTCAAAAATTTAAGGAAATTTATATAAAACTAATTATTTGTTCAGCTGTAAAATACTGAAATACTGATAGTCCGTGCAGCAACAGAACACATTTCCCCCAGGGACAAACCCAAGTGTCACAACACGTAAGTCAACACGTGGAAATTGGATTATTAGAGCGGCGCGTGTGTACACACGGCACAATGGCAGACGAAGGATCCGGCAAATTGGACTGGAAGTAGTCCAAGACGACGGCCAATGTCGATTGGGCAACCAACGAGGCACAAAACAAGCATTCGAGGAATGCGGGCCCATTTAAAATTCAACAGAGAGCAAGAAGTCCAGGACGAAGCAGCCTTGGAATGCGCTTTAAGGAGCATCCATAATTCAGTGAGCAGCCAGCAGGTGGGAAAGTTGGAGGACAGCCTGAACAAGTAAATTGTAGTCGGAGTCCTTGGATTTGTGCAATGGATTGATGTTGATATGTGTATAGCTTATAGTTTTGGTGAATCAATTGTTTAGCTGTCGTTCGAAGGATAGAATATGCGACTAAATTTCACTAGTATCGGGGGACCGAAAATAATCTTTAATTGCGACTTTTATTTTAAAAATACCAAAAACTCGATTAAATGTGACATAACAAAAAAAAAGACAAATAAATGAACATGTCATAGTTTGAGTAAAATGAAATTAACACAGTAGAAGAACTTTAACATAAGATATTTACACAATGTAATATCGTCAAAAACTTTTAAAAGATATGACATAAATAAGTTTCTTTCTTGTAAAGGGTACTATTAAAACTATAGTGTATGCTTTCTATCAGGAACTATAGCCTCAAAGTTACGACAGTAATCAGAATCATGTAGAACTCATAAAAACCAACCAAGTTTTGGCTAGACATTGCTCTTTGTTTTGATTGCCCAGACGGCAATCGCAAAGACAGCATGTGCAAAATACAGCCATTTGGAGGCTTCGGTCTTTAAATTTAAAGCCAATTCTCAAAAGGCCGAGCCTGTCAGATCGCATATCGCAAATCGATTTTTCTTTCTCGGTTATGTTTTGGTTATAAATTACACAGCGAAATGACATGTCGCCCCTCGTCAAAATCGCCGGCGCTTAATAAATCGTGTGCAATTTACGCTTGCCCATTTTTGCACTCTGCGTGAGACTCATTATGGCCGTCACGCCCTAATCCCAAAGCGTTGTAATAATAATTCAAATACGGCGGCACATTAGTTCCGCCATTTTGAGCAGCCAGTGTACAATAAACGATGGGCCAACAGGTTGTGACAAGTGGATTTGGTTGAGACCGGAGGCTTTTACTATTTGTAGACACTTCATAAATGTCGGCCAAAGTTATTAAATGGGTATTTCAATCGCACATGGAAAAAATATAATGGAAACTAAGCTTTCTGAAATTAAAAAAAATAGTCTAAAACAAATAATTTATACAAACAAATTAGATTTGAATTTTTTCATTACAAGACATAGATGTTTAGATATAAAAAGATAAAGATTGTTTTTCTGTTCTTTTGAATTTAAGTCGGTTATAATTCTAAGTGCACAGCAGAATGATTGATAGTCATGGGAGAAAGGGGAAAAGGGCCCACTCTGAATCGGAAGACATGATCCCATAAAACGTTTTCGGCAAAATGTTCATCAAGTAGCCATACAATAAATAATAGAACAGTCAGAAACATTTGATGGAGAACCATAAAAATGCAGCTCAACCAAAAAGAAGTAAAGAAGACTACACCAGCTCATTCAAATTGTAGCCATGTACACATAAAGAGCAGACAAAAGACATAAAGTAAATGAAGCGGCACACGAAATGTAGACTTCAGATGAGTAGTGGCAACTCCCAGACGATGTGACGAGTATTTTCATTCTATTTCCATTTGCACATTCTCGTAACTCAGTTGCCATTCAAAGGCAAAGGCAGTGCCGCAGTCGAAATCGAAATCAATTGTAACACACAATGAAAACAGTTTTCCTACACAATGAATGCTTACCACACACACTGGGATTTTCTCAGCACTCTACACTTGAAATAAGATTCGTAATAAATTAGTGAAAAATAAACTTGTTAAGAATTAAAAAAAAACTCCTATTGAATAAATCAAAGATTTCTTAGTGACTCAATAGCTTAATAATTCAAAAAAAGTTTGTATTCAGAAATAATTGCTTTTCCTAATTAATATACAAGATTAAATTGAACTAATACAAATTAAAACAAAATTTGGTATTTGGTTATAATATAGTTTTAGGAATTTTTTAAAAACAAAAATAAATTTGGTAGAGCCACTAAAAATTCCTTTTGTAAAGCTTAGAAAACAAATCTTAAATGTTTTTGATAATTATTTGAAACTTTTTTTGAGTGTTGGCCAAAACGAAAGAGTATCACCCAGCAAAGCTGCTTCGGCTTAAATAAAAAAAATAATCATTTAAGAAAGATGTCAAGACCCAATCTTCCAGGTTCTCAGGAACAATGGACAGACGACGGAGTGAATCGTATGTGAATCGTAGACTGGCTGACAACAAGTTGACAAGATAAGGTTTAACATCAATCGCGACTTGGCAGACTTTGGCAATACTTGCCCTTGAAAAGCTTGAATTCAAAATGGTTATTATGTCTGGCTTGTAGGGGGTGTATGACATGAATCGTTTGCTGGGGATTTGGTTTCAATAAGTAAATTTTCAATGAACAAGCTCCGTTCTTTTTTTTGAACTTGCATTGCTACAAATAAAGAGATCTACTACAAGACTTTATGTAAAGCTGTTTTTTTTTTTTAATTACAGAAGCCCTATTATATTGTAAATTATACAAATTATTAATGAAATAAATCACCATTTAAACATATTTTTTTTATTAAATAGAAATGACGCTATGGTTAAGTTATATTATTCTATTCATTTTTTTTTGTGTATTATAACTTAAGATATCGTTCATATCAATGATTTCTTTTTCAGTAAATTTTAATACTATTGTTTCTGGCTGTAAAAAAGGAAACTTTCCCGCTTTTCGTAAAAACCAAATAGACAATACCTTCATCCAACCATAGAAATCCTTCAGCTTCAGTTCCATGAATACAGATTGCGTGCAGTGACGCAAATCGACGATAGAGTATGGAATTCATAAGGGTGTGCAAATTAGAATACGAGTATGAATGAATAAAAAAAAAATGAACACCAAATCCAAAACAAAACAAGCAATCATAAAGGAGAGATGAAAACTAATTTTGCCCAGGCCTTCGCTATGATTAACTCTCGGATTACAACGTACATTTACTTATATAAAAGGAATGATGGAAGGGAATATCGCGAAAACAAGACAGCAAACAAATGCCAAATTAACAACTCGTCAAATGGATGTTATTAGCATAAATTGCTTTTTAATGCCAAAGATTGTTCGGCACAAGCATTTTAATCCGCATACGATTATCACATGCTTGTACATTTGATTTGCCATGGTCTGACAGTCATACTTCAGCTCATCTCGACTCAGACAGGACCCCTAAGTGATTTGTTTATTCAAGAGGAATTGATTGCAACAAAAACAGAGGCAGACAAAGACAATCGCAGCCAGCTGTGGCGCAAGAACCCGAATCCTAATCCGAATCAGAATCAGAAACAGAAACCCAGCCAGACACAGAGGTTATACAAATGCCATCCATCCATTGGACACACCCCCATTCACACAAGTGTAAATTTGCCATTTTTATGGTTTAAGTGTCGCGTCATTATAATTCAGTCGAACATATATGGCACTCGAGCCATTCGAATTGTTTATGGTAGACACATTAAAAGTTAGCTCGAAGTGAGCAAGCACCACATGTTTGCTTTAGAGATATATTTATCACCCGAAAGGCAAAATAACATAAAAAACAAATAATGCCCTTGATAAAAATGAATGAAATAATTCGAACCCTTTTTGTACAGCTCAATACTTCAGATTTCATTTCGTTTAAATTCAAGTAAAAGAAAATAATTATTCACTCGACTTTAAATTGAATTTAATTCATAACAAATTTTACCATTCACCATTAAATTGTTATTAAATATATGGCATGTAATTGTGAAGTGTGTGTATTTGTCGGGATGAATTTTCTTTTTGATATCAAATATTTATAGACCTGTGCAGACTTTTGTAATAACTCAGTGCCAAGAGTTTAAATTGGAATAAACATATGTCAAGGGCGTTCACAAAAGTACATAAATAATGCAATAAAAAGCTCATTTCAACATTTTGTTGGCCACTAAAAGAAGATAAAAATGTCGTTAGGAATTAATAAATAAATCGCATGTACTTACACCACATATTTCCCTTTAAAAGAGGGCACTGATGATAAAGAACACTCCCTTCGGGATTAACCCAAACTAGCATAGTACCCTTCTTGGGTTTTACTTTTACTTCGAGAGAGGGGAATACAATCTCTCCTCCCTTTTCAGCGTTACTTAACTAAGGTATTTGGAGAAAAATTATTAATATATCAAGTCTTAATGATAAATTAATATTCTTACATATATCAAAGCGTTCGCTAAGTGGTTGCTCCGGGACTTTGTGGTATCATCGGGATTGTAGTTACCAGCAATACCATAATTAATAACTTCAAGCATTTGATTTTTGTTCATTTTAAATCCTGTGACATCATTGATTCGACGATTCATTTTGTGAACAATATTATGCGAAGAGCTATATAGAGTTGAGATTTTACAACTGCAATTCCATGACAGGTGTTGATTGCGCTGAAGTTTTGGCCTAGAAACAGCCTTCAATATTTCTATATCCTTTTGAGTGACGAAATCGGGAATTATAAATACAGTTGGATTAATGGACAACAACTCTATTTTTAAAGGTGCCAAAATAAGAAATGGTGTCCAATTTGTATATCGGCAAATGAGTTTCCGTGATATTTGTTTTGGATAATGCTTTGAGCAAATGGTTTTCTGGATCTGAAAATCCTTTTTTCTTTCTTTAAGATTGGGTGGATTTGCTTGCAGATAATCCAGCTTTGGCAGTTGCTTTAACATATAAGACTGCCTGGGAACTATTGAAAGTAACTTAGTCGCAAGTTGTTTCGCTTCCAAGTAAAGACCTACAATTAAAAATGTATTAATAATAACTGTACAACAAATCGAATAGCTTTAATAAAAACTGTTAAAATAATATTGTAAAACTTTAATTAATTTATAAATAAATAAAGTGTTTGTGATCAAAAATATGTAACTATTTTATTTAAATTCAATTTATATCGAGATGTCGCTATTGTATGTGATTTTAGAGATTGGCTTTATTTGACCAAAGTTTATCGAATTCAGACGTTTACAACTGTCATATAAAATAAGTTGTCAAAAAAGGTTGATCTAAAAAAGTCTTATTTTTTTCGAAAATATATAATCAAGCAAAATAAAAATACCTGTATTAAATTATTAATAAATTCTCTCTTCCTAGATATATAAAAATTATATATTAACTTACCAAGTCCCTTCTTGGCCTCCATCAAAAATTCCAACAAGTTGGGATAACTCCAAAGCTTAATTTTGAGGTCATCCGGATTCGGATGCTTTTCGTAATGATAAAGAGCCAGTTGTAACCAATAATCCGCTTGGTCGTAATGTTTGAAGTTTTGATACATTAGCCCGAGTATTAAACACTCATCAATACTCCATTTCTTGGCACTAAAGATATTTTGAAAAATTATACTAAATAATAAGGATATAGAAAATTCTTACTTGAAGTTATTGCCATCTAATATGCCTTCTACCATGTCAGAAGAGTCCAAGTTATACACGGTTTGAAGTCTATAAATAGCACCTAAGGATTCCTCAAAGTCTTCAGACGTGGGTTGCTTTATTAATAATTCCTGAGATAGTGAAATCTCTTTGGTCCCCAGTTCTTTTTTTAACAATTTTAAGTATTTGGGCCAATCCTTGTGAATGTGCCTTAAAACTTTAAACTCACTCAATGCATTGTGCTGAAATTGCGAAGCGGATTTTAACAGATTTTCTGAATAATTTATGGCTCTGTAAAGAAGAAAAAAATGTTGATATATAAACTCATTTAAGTAATCTGTTCTGCCATTACATAAATTATTTTTGCTCTTACAGCTTAATTTCTTTTAAGTGCTTATCCAATGATTCTCTATAGTTGAAAAGATTTCGTACATGGGTTTCTTTCCACTTCAACAATGTCAATTGTGATTCTAAGGATATTGCAAAGTCATAAGAAATTGGTGTGGATAAAACTTGGCCTTTAACTTGCAGGCCAAAGCCAGCAATTAACACTACGAAGAATAGCAACATTTCAATCATTAGAACAGACTGACTATTTATAAAAAAAAAACCAACGCTTTTTAATGTATTTTACATTATGGGAAATTCGTTATGCATCATGGTAGATTTTGCACGAAGCTTAATGGGCAACATCGCTAAATATCCTCAAAAAAATAGGGTTGCTAAAAATGGAAAAACAAATTTATCATAAAGAACATACAATAAATATTTTTTAAATAAATTTAATACAAATTAATCGCGTTATTACACCATATAGATTTATTATTTATATATAAAATATAAAATGTTATATAAACTTTAAACTTTATAAATTTTCATTCATAAACATTTTATCAATAATCTTTGCATTATATTCTTGCGGTGGCTTTATCTTCAATGGACAAGGTCGAATAAACATTTGAGCATTTTCTCGAAGCCATTTGGTGGCAACTGAAAAACGCCGAAATATAATATAAAATGGTTTATATAAATGGCCAAAGACTTACTCCATTTGTCACCCTTCAAAATGGGGCAAGATACATGTGTTACTCTCCAATCGCAGGTTCCATTTAATAAAAGATTGTACCATACCAGCAAGGATCCTTTTTGAGTATGAACTCGTAGATCCAGATAGGGAAAAACCGTTTCACCACCTTGCTCAACGTCGCTTAGCTGAAAAAACTCTGTCAAAATTAATACTAATTTTTTCATTAGTTCTTACATAATACAAAGCCGTAATAATTCGATTGCCGTATTTCCAAAACGAACTATTAGTTGATTGTGCTGAGTCCTGGTGCTCATATAAATGTCCACCAATACCATAGTTACTGATTTGCAACTCCTCTGAATCTTTTACATCTAAGCCCGTGGCATCCATAACACGTTGATTCAAATTCTTCATTAAGTTATGATGAGCATTATCCTTTAAGCGCATTGTCTTGCATGTGCGCAGATTAGAGAAGTCTTCAATTACCTCATTTGCACTGGTGAAAAACATGCTGCGCTTTAAGTGTGGATTTGATAGAGTCTTTAGCAACACAATTTCTTCATTATGGATGAGATTGTGGTAAATATTTATAGGTGGATCAAGATTCAACTCCTCCATTTTTATGGGAGCCAACTGAAGAAACGGTGAGTAGTGTAGAAGATGACAACGCAAATATTTTTTTGCGGGGTATTCCATGCGACAAGCTGGTTTAAATAAAAAATGATTTGGCTTTTCCGGTTTAAGTACTTCCGGTATCGAACTCAACTTTTTTAGTCTGGGAATCTGTTGATGCCAAAATGTTTGACTTTGATTTAAGTTCTGTGCTTTATTTGCATATTCCAAAGCGGCCTTATAACGACCGGAACTCTGAGCAGCCTTCATAAGCAGTTTCAAAATAAATTCATTAGATAGACCAAAAATATCAAACTTCTTCGAATTCGACTCATTATTGTAGTTTTCCAGAGCCAATTTAAACCAACGTTCTGCTCCCTGGAACTTTTCGTCGAGATAAAAAACAGAGCCCATCATTAGGTACTCCAAAACACCAAATTTCTTGCACCTATTATAATAAATAAGTTATATGAACTTTAAATGGTTTTTAAATAAAATTTAAAAACGATCACACTAACCTGTATTGCTTTCCTCTTAGCAAACCAATTGACATTTCAGCTGGGTCAAGTCTGTAGGTTGACTGCAATCGATACATGCCATAAAGAGCTTCATTATAGTCTATCTTTGTAGGCATGTTTTCTCGCAAGTTTTGTAAATTGGTAATTTCTTCAAAACCGTGTTTTTCTTTTAGAAAATGCAACCAATTTTGCCAGTCAAAATATAATTGGCGTGTTAATTTAAAAGTGTAGAAAGAATTTGACGAATGATTGGTCTTAAGAAGATTTTCCAGTTGATTAATGGCTCTAAAAGAGTAATAAATTTTCAGTATATACATTTTCTTACAAAACTAGTTTCTTACAGTTTGATATGTGATAATCTTTTTCTAAGATCATCTGCATAGTTTTGCAGGATCCTAACCGCCTTTTCCTTTAGTGACAATAATGGCAACATGTGAGCTTGGCTTAATGCATACCCATGCGATGATGGTTCTATTGGTTCTTCATTGCTCAAACCAATTCCATTTAGTAAAAATACAAGAACACAAAACTGAAGCATGACAGTAGCTAAAGTAAACTAAATGCTAGGAAATATAATTTTAAGTTTAGACTCATTTTTAACAACCTTGTCAAAAAACGTTAGTTAGGCTTGCAAGATTTAATATTGGGCGATTCAAATACTAATTAAAACCACATACAAATTTTAAACTTATTATTAATAATAATTATAGACACCGAGTTTCTACTAAACTTTTCTGACAATACGATTTATATATTAAGAATAAATTTATTTTCATTTACATATTCTACACATATTGAGGTTTCTTAAAACTTATCTTGCGACATTTGGTTTTCCTGAGAAATGCATTTGCTATGCCCTGATCGACGATTTAATAGTCTGTAAGGTAAGAAAATATTTATGCAGTTCATTTTGTACTGCCAATAGAAAGAAACATGTGCTCAATGTTCACAATTGGTTTCATTTCAATTTTTCTTCCGGGGGCACTTTTTGAAATTTTGACTGATTCAGCCATGTCTATAGCTGGAATGAAAGGTCTAGTGGACATGGAGGGCTTATTCATCAGCGAGTTAACGAACTATACAAAAGCCTTAAAGGACAAAATCGATGATATAGAAAGGTGATTATAAGTCAGCTGTATATTTATTTAATTTTACTTTTCTACCTGTTTAGTTTTCTTCAAAAAGTACAATCCAAACGAGAAATTTCTCGAAAAAACCCACAACAGTTCGTAGCCCATCCACTCAACGCCTTTTCCCTCATTCGACGACTGCATGAGGATTGGACTGAGATTGAGTTATTTATGTCCAAACAGGTCGGCTTGAATCACCTTGAAGCTATTAAAAAAGGTTTGGACGAATCGCAACCCACTGATCAGGATCTTTTGGATGCCACGAATGGAATAATAACAATGCAACGAACCTACAATCTACAGCCGGTTGACATTGCAAAGGGAATCCTAGGGAGCCAAAAATACAAGTTAGTAACGAAGTTTTGGAATATTTATCAGACTTTATACAATCTTAATAATCACTGTCTAATTATACTATTACACTTTTTACTGTCCCATTTTTCATATATTTTTTTAGTGTCAATTTAACTACCTTAAATTGCCAGCTTTTGGCTAAGGCTTGCCTTATATTGAATGAGGATAGAGCTGCTTTTAGTTATTTTAAAACTGCTGTGGAACACTACGATGAAAATCGGGATGGCCAAGTCTATAGGGAGGTATTTGACTTTAAGCTGTCTGATTTATACACAAATTACACAAAAATTTTGATAATCAAAGGTAAGTTAGTTTGGGTGGCTTCAATATTTTGCATCTTATTTCATTTATCATTGGGAAGGTTTTCGTAGTGCCGCCTTGAATATTCTTCGAAACGTATCAGATTTGGATGCTGATCTCTGGTTACTTCAGAGAAAAGTTTATGAAGAAGCTAAGATTGATGTTCCTGATCCCACTGTAAGTGCTAGCACTACAACGTAAATATAAACTGTTTACATATTTCTTCTATGCTAGTATTACACAGCCCCATGGACCGACAAATCAGGTTGTCAAGGATTATGGGAGTCCAAAAACTATTTTAGTTGTTACTATGAAAGTGGAACAACAGACTTTCTAAGGATTGCCCCACTCAAAGTTGAGATTCTCAGCTTAGATCCGCACATAGCAATTTATCATGATGTAATCTTTGACAGCGAAATCTCAGGGATGAAAAATATTTCACTTCCTTTACTAAAGGGTCCTTTGCGATACCTAAATAGTGATGACTTTAACCTAAAGTTTGCTAAGATATATGGGGAGCATCAAAGTCCGTTAAATCAACGAATTAGGGATATCACAGGAGATAACGTAAAAGAGGATAAAGATTTTTTGATATTCAACTATGGTATGTGTGGGTTTAAAAACTATCATTTTGATAACATAGAATTACAGGATCAAACGGTAAGCTGATAATATAATCAGAAAAATTGGAAATAAAATATTGGTATTTCAGGCAGAACTAGGAGATCGCCTTACAAGCATTAAGTTTTTTGTAAGTATATGCGTACAAATAGTGTATGCTAGTTTTTTTAAATATATTAATTAATTACTTTAGTTAAACGATGTGACCGAAGGTGGTGCCCTTGTTTTTCCGCATTTAAATCTGACTATTTGGCCCCAAAAAGGCAGCGCTGTGGTGTGGCAAAATCTAAATAATGAAATGGATGCTAACGAAGATATTATTCACTTGTCGTGTCCGGTTATTGTGGGCTCTAAATGGAGTAAGTTATAAGTAATTTTAAGTTAAATAACAAATTTAAAAAATCTTTATTTTTAGCCCTCTCCAAATGGTTACACCAAAACCCTCTAATGTTTTCCAAACCTTGTAAAAAAGTATGAAGACTTTAACATATAAATTCAAGTGGAATAGTCCACGTGCCTAAAGCATGAAATTATAAGCGTTAAATAAATAATTTAGACAACAATTTCCGCTTGACTCTAATTATTTTTGTTTTTACTGCAATCCATTGGAAATTGTCAAACAATGCGGAATATATCGGTATTCATATTTCTGCTTATCCTAGTCCAACAAAATTTTTCCATAAGCCCGGATGAAAATGAGAAATTAGATTTATTATATAATAAGGATTATTATAGTTCCTCAGTTCTGGGACTAGTAAGACTCTTAAAACTGGAGCAAGAGTTTATGGAGAATTTTACGATCTATACCAATGTCTTGCAGGAGAAAGTCGACAATATAAATATGTAAGTACACATCCCCAGAAACTAAGTTTTATATCTTGAATTCCGGCAATGGATTAGTTATCTAGATACCTTAACGAGGTCACCGCACAAGACTCATAAAAAGAGGGAGAAGTTTGTTTCCAATCCGCTAAATGCTTTTGGATTGATCAGAAGACTACATCAGGATTGGCCCAAATGGCAAAACTACACTAAGAAACCACTGGGCCTTCTACAACTGAATGCGATGGAGGAGATCCTGAGTAAAGTTCCTGAGTCCTTTGACATGAACGAAACACTAAAAGCAATGCATCGCATCGAGACAACCTATGATCTTCAAGCGAAAGATATAGCAAGTGGCTTACTTCAAAGCACACAATTCAAGTCAGTCTAAAATATATGCAAAAGAAAATCCAAATAATATAGGTTATTCATTGATAAATTTATTTTGTTTGTTATACTTTTTAACCAGCTATAAACTCAACATGAGGGATTGTCTGGCATTGGCTCACCATAAATTTGAAGTTGGATACTTTCACCGATCACTTTTATGGTTCCAAGAAGCTTTAAGTCTAACCACAGAACTGAGTCAGGACATTATCAGTAATTTAAAGAGCCTTGAACTAGAAGCCTTTGCCACATCGATAATCACTCGCAGTAAGTAAATGTTAGTTAATATGACAAAAATATTAGAGAGATTTTCAAAATATTTTATAACCTTGAAGGTACGGTTGTATAATTATAATATTTATAATATATTTTTCCTGTGCAGGCATTTATTTGTCGGGTCAATCATTGAGTAATAAAACCATCCATAAATTAGTAAGCAGCCAATTGAAAGATGCCAAACAAAAAGACTTGGAGGAGATTATCAGCTCAAAACTTAGCCAATTGAATAAGGAAAGTAAAAATGCTTCAGATATATTAAAGACAAATCCAAATGCCCATAATATTGGATGTCAAGGACTCTTCCCCAAGCCGACCAATCTCTCCTGTCGTTACAATTCCACTACAAACATGTTTTTAAAATTAGCCCCTCTAAAAATGGAGGAAATGAGCCGTGACCCTTACATTGTAATGGTGCATGATGTAATATCGGACAGGGATATCGAGGAAATGAAAGGAACTATAGAAGAAATGGGCACTGGATGGTCTGGATCAGATAGTTCCATGGAAATTGTGGCTCGCATCTATTGGGAAAGGAAAAAATCCCCGTTCAGAGATCGAATCAATCAACTCATTTCTGACATAACAGGCTTCAAACTGGAGGAGTTTCCCGCTTTACAACTGGCTAATTTTGGTGTGGGCGGATACTTCAAGCCACATTTCGACTATTTTTCAGAGCGCCTAACAAAAGATGATGCCGACAACACTTTGGGAGATCGAATCGCCAGCTTTATCTTTTATGTAGGTATTAAAATAACTTTTTTAAGACGTCTTGATACTAAATAGATTTAATGAACAGGCTGGAGAAGTTTCACAAGGTGGCCAAACCGTTTTCCCAGATATTAAGGTGGCGGTGGAGCCCAAAAAAGGCAACGCTCTATTTTGGTTCAATGATTTCGATGATGAAACACCAGATCCGCGATCCTTGCATTCTGTATGTCCTGTTATAGTCGGTTCCAGATGGAGTGAGTATTAAATCTTAATATTTAAATTGTTAACTTAAATATCTCCTTTCAGCAATTACCAAATGGATACACTACAAGCCACAAATATTTGTGAAGCCCTGCAGTACAAGGTTTCGGAAAAAAAGCTTTTGATCAGTGACGTGTACTTGGGCTTTAAAATAAAGTTTGATTTTCACAAGTATAACAAATTAATTAGTGACGCTAGATCCCAATCGAATTTAGTTGTTTTTTTGACTACCGTTCATATTCAAGACAGTAAAAATGAGAAAGTGTCACAGTTTGCTAATACTTTTACTATTCTGGGCGCAACTTATTGCCGAAAGTGCCAAAAATTCTATAAACGATGAAAACAATGAATTATATAGCTCTTCAATCACGGGACTTTTGAAACTATTGGAAATGGACCAGCAATTTATAGAAAACATAAAGGCATACACTAATAAAATGGAAGAGAAGGTTAAGAATCTGCAAGCGTAAGGCATGATTAAAAAAAATAGAATCTCTAAAGTCAGATCTATTTTCCACAGATATATAGAATCAATTGATTATGGGGTCAGGGAAAGCTTAGAAGAAAGGGAGAAGTATGTTAGTAATCCATTAAATGCTTTCAGTCTAGTGAGACGCACACATCAAGATTTGCCCAAATGGCACAATTACTCACAGCAGATTGTGGGATTGGGTAAGAATATTCTGTGGGGAAATATAACATCTATTTATTATATGTATTCTTGATATAATACCAATACAAACTCGATATAGTTTTGTAAACTAATTGAATTCTTAGGTTTCTCTACCTACCATTTAAATATAAGAATTAAAATAAGTATTATATCATTAATTCAGAGGAACTGTATGCCTTAGAAGAAATCCTTTCAAAGGGCCCTGATAAAAAGGACATGGAGTACTCTCTGAGAAATATGCAGCGGCTAGAAAAGATATACGATCTTGAGGCCACGGACTTAGCAAGAGGTCGCCTACATAACAAACAATATGAGTAAGTACTCACTCCCCTACTTGTTAAAAACCTATAACCTGAAGGTACTACTTTGTAGCATTAAACTTTCCTTACGAGATTGCATTGCTTTGGGTGAACACAAATTCCACATGGAAGACTACCAAAGAGCTTCTATGTGGTTTCGCATGGCCCTCAAACAAGAACCTGAAGGAAATGACACGATAATCAATAATATTCTTGGAGATCCCAAGGATAAGTTGTATATGCAGTATGCCAAATCAATGATCATTTTTGGTAAGTCCTGTCTACCAGATCTACCCTACTTAGCTATTCCTTTTTAACATTCAGGCATAATCCAGTCAAATTTTTCGATGACCATCAAAGAAGTTCAAGCAATAACTAATGAGGCACTAAAGGAGTCCAGTCTAGCAGATTTAAAATCTCTTATATCGGAACTGCTAAGCCAAAGTGATGAGGAAATAGTTTCGGAAATGAACGTAAATAAGACAGCCCCAAATGATTACGAATTGGGATGCCGTGGACGGTTTTCCAGGCGGAGAAATCTAGTTTGCAGCTACAATTTTACAACATCCCCATTCCTGAGGTTAGCACCTCTTAAACAGGAGGTGTTAAGCATGGATCCTGACATTGTGATTTACCACAACGTTCTTTATGACGAAGAGATCTTGAAACTAGAGCAACACGCGGAGAACAACACTGCATTGGAAATCAATCCCGTCAAGGAACGTATATTTCGACGCATCACCGACATGACGGGGTTCAGATTTTCACTTACAGATGACCTTAAATTGTCAGATCAGAAAACATCTTCTCTGCTAAACTCTCATTCAAAGGGAACATTAATATTTTATGTGAGTACATATTCTCGGGAAGGCAAATCGAAATTCTGATTACTTTTGTAGAAAAGTAAAAATGATTTCATTTTACTCAAATGACACCTTTTTGTTATTAAACCTCATCAACAGGCTAACGATGTGGAGCAGGGTGGTGCGACGGTTTTTCCAAAATTGAAAATATCTGTTTTCCCCCAAAAAGGCAGCTGTTTGTTCTGGTACAATATATTCGATAATGGAAACCCAGATCCTCGCAGTGAGCATTTGGAATGTCCAGTTCTCCAAGGAAATAAAAAGGGTAGCTAGAAAACAAAATCTTAAGTGTATCAAATTTATTTAATTTATTTATTCTTCTATTTTCAGTTCTTACCAAATGGGTATATATGGAACCAAAAATGTGCAGACCAAAAATGAGAGAAAAAATGGACTTAGGCAAATTTTAGATATTATTATTACATATTTGGTCTTCAAATCTATTAAAATGATTTTTAAAAGAAACTTGTCATTTATAAAACAGTTGAAGTTTTGAAGAGGTAACGATTTAGATGATAAGAAATAATACAACGCAACGAATCAATTAAGTCATTTCAGACCTTACAAAACTATTTTTTCTCGCGCAAAAAAATTCAGTTTAAACTTGAATTCTCATTATTCAAAATGAGACGGTACGTAAGTTTACTCGCAGTTTTCGTCTGCTTAGCAGATATTTTCGTAAAGGGGATCAATGATGGACTCTACGATGAAAGCATAGAACGATACAGCTCATCCACAGTAGGTCTTTTAAAGCTACTTAATGTGGAACAACAGTTTGCCGACAGCCTCATAAGATTTGCAAAGCAACAAGGAAAAAAAGTACCAGCACTTGGCGCGTAATTATATTAAATTCTGGTTATTTATATCGATAGTCATACCAAATTCGTTTTTAGTTACTTATCTGCAGTGGATTATAAATTAAATAGCAGCCCCAGAGAAAAAGTGGAATATGTTTCTAATCCATTGAACGCCCTTTCACTTTTGAGACGCACCCATGAGGATTTGCCAAAGTGGCACGCTTATTTTAAGAAAGCAATAGGAATAAGTGAGTACCTTGTGTTAAAATTTTTACTAATAGTTGCTTAGCTTGAAATTTAAATTCATAAAACTCTACTAAGTTCTAATCCTGAAATAAAAAACCGCAGACTTCGAATCTCTGGATAAGCTTGTTGAAAAAGTTCCAAGTCTTGTGGATTTAATGTCGGCAATGAAAGGAATTAAGCGAATCGCAAACATATATGACTTAAGGATCGATGATTTGGCAGAAGGTCTTCTGCACGGCAAGCAATACAAGTAAACTTAAGTTAACTTAAAGTTCTCAAAATGTTTAGTAAAATCTCTCCTACAGTATTCGAATGACCTATCGCGACCTCATAGCCATGGGAAATCTAATGTTCCAACAACGTGACTACCAAGCAGCAGCCAAATGGTATCGTATTGCTTACAAACGAGAACTTGAAGATAGGTATGAGTTATTCAATGAGATTCTGGGCAATCCATCTGAAAACCTCTATCGCCAATACATCAAATCATTGTTCGTATATGGTAAATTATTTATATTTTTATTAAGACCTTTCTCTCATTATTCAATTGATATTAAATTCAAGAAAGTTATAAATCAAATCCTTTACACTCGGTTGAAGAAGCTTTAATTGCGGTGGAGAACTCTATGGCAGACATTAGTCAAGAAGAATTGTATAAATTAATGTCAAACTTGAATAGCCCCGAGAACGATGTTGAATTAGAAAGGGGACTGTATCAGACAAAAACCCCTGCTTCAAAATTTGAAATCGGATGTCGAGGACTGTATCGCAGGAAACCAAAACTAGTGTGTCGCTACAAATTTAACACCACCCCGTTTTTAAGATTGGCGCCTATGAAATTCGAGGAAATCAACATAAACCCATATATCGGAATGTATCACAACGTACTTTACGATTCAGAAATTGAGGTACTTAAAGAGCAATCGACGAATATGGCTAACGGCTATGCGGACAAAAGAAATGACTCAGAAATCCGAGATACAGTGGCCCGACATGCCTGGTGGACTGACACCTCTGCAATCCGGGAACGCATCAATCGTCGCATTGAGGATATGACAGGATTCAATTTCTCGAAAACGGAAATGTTGCAAGTCGCAAACTATGGCGTTGGCTCATATTTCCAACCGCACTTTGATTACACCTCCGATGGATTTGAAACTCCTGATGTTTCTGCATTGGGAGATCGCTTGGCCAGCATTCTTTTTTATGTGAGTTTCATGAATTCAAAATATGAATTGCAATTTTCAAGTTACTTTAATTTATTTACCTCAATTTGCAGGCTAGCGATGTGCCGCAGGGTGGTGCCACAGTTTTTCCAGAAATCAAAGTCACGGTCTTCCCACGAAAAGGAAGCAGTTTGTACTGGTTCAATTTGTTCGATGACGGTAGGCCTGATATAAGAAGCCAGCACTCAGTGTGTCCAGTCATAAATGGAGATAGATGGAGTACGTTGCACACATTTTTTATATTTTTAACCCATCTAAAAATACTATTTTTCAGCTCTTACGAAGTGGATCCATTTGTTACCTCAAATGTTTATCATGCCCTGCAAGTCGTAAGAGACGACTATTGTCTGTAATTCAGAAACTTAAGCCTTAAAGGCAGAAAATCAAGTCGAAACCGTCTAAGTTTTTCCCAATTGGGGAACCTGTATGTCCAAACAAAATACTATATTCTGAGTTATCATAAAATCTGTGAAAGTTTATTACTCAAATTAAAAAAAAGTTTACGTTTGTTATTTGTTTGTGTTATCCCATCTCCAATTTCTATCCCCCAACAGCTATTAATAGATTTTATTCAGAAGTAATTCAAATAATCAGTGGACGTTGGTTTAGAAATAATAATAGGTTTCTATAAAATCAAAAGAAAATGTAATAAATGTTATAATTTTCGATTATGTTTGATAAGTTTACAACCAGTTAAACCAGGAAACGTACTGACCACTTGTTTGTACCAGAACCACGAATTGAACAACCATAACCAATAAACCATAAAATTGTGGATTTACTTGATAAATAAACTAAAAACATCGCATTAGTATACCTAAGCTAAGATGAAGTGGTTCGTGTTTCAACTTGGTCTGTTATTAATTTTAGTTCCAAAAAACTTTTGTGAGGAAGAAACGGATAACTCAGAGGAGAAAATGACATACAGTACCTCCGTGAGGAGCATGGTAAAACTTTTAGAAATTGAAGAGTCTTTAAAAGATAATTTGGAGATATACGTTCAAAAAATGCAGTCAAAGTTGGATATTATTAAATTGTAAGTCTTTCAGAGTTGGTAATTAAATTTATCTGGTAATTGCATTTCAAACATTACTTCCTATTCGTAGATATCAGGAGACGTTAAAGAGGGAAAAGTTTAACACGCTGGCAGAGAAGGAAGAGTATATGGCCAACCCTTTAAATGCATATCCTTTGCTAAGACGCCTTAATCAAGATTGGCCCAAATGGCTTAGATATCTAAAGCTGGCGATAGCTACCAAAAAAACCAAAGAAATGGAATTGCACCTAAAGTCTGCTCCAAATGATGATGACCTTATTGATGCCCATAAAGGAATGGCGCGAATTGAACAATATTATGATCAGCACGCAGAGGATTTGACCAAGGGTTTTTTATTGGGAAGGAAATTTAAGTAAGACAATCTGAGACTCAAAATTAAATTAAAGATCTATTTAATTTATTTTTTAGCTCCCATTTGACTGCACCAGATTGTTTTGCCTTGGCTGATTTCCATTACAATCAATCTCAATTCTCCGCATCCACTCACTGGTATCGCATGGCTTTAAGACTTCATAATTTAACCCAAGTTGAACTCTACGAAAAAGTTTTGGGTTTAAAGAGAAAAAGAATCTACAAAAAGTATGCCAAGGCATTGCTCAAAGAATGTAAGTTTATTTTTGCGGCTGCATTAATTACATAGCTTCCAAAGGACTATCGTAAAATGTTTCGGAAAATTGTATGAAATTTTTGCCATTATTCGAAAAAGGGCTTTGTAGAAAAGTGTCCAATAACTACACTCTTAAGTCCATAATTTTCGTACCGACATCCGATTTCATAGTGGCATATTTCAAAATGATTGTGGTTTAATCTTCGAAAAATCCCTATCTTCATCTTGGTTTGTATTTTTGGGTCGATTTTTCGTAATTTTTCAAAATTTTTTATTTAGGGTTGATCAAATTTTTGACCCATTTTCATGTTAGTTATTTCTAATTTTCCGATGTCTTGTAAAAGAGTGACTCAAAACTGGACTTCTAGAGTCTATAACTTTACCAAACTTAAACCGATTTCAAAGTGGCTTACCTCTAAAGACTTGTGATTCGATTCTCTAAAAATCTGCATTCAAAATTTTTAATTTAGGATTGATCAAATTTTTGACTCATTTTCATGTTAGTTATTTCTAATTTTCCGATGTCTTGTAAAAGAGTGACTCAAAATTGGACATCGAGAGTCCATAACTTTACCAAACTTAAACCGATTTCAAAGTGGCTTACCTCTAAAGACTTGTGATTAGATTCTCTAAAAATCTGCATTCAAAATTTTTAATTTAGGATTGATCAAATTTTTGACCCATTTTCATGTTAGTTATTTCTAATTTTCCGATGTCTTGTAAAAGAGTGACTCAAAACTGGACTTCTAGAGTCCATAACTTTACCAAACTTAAACCGATTTCAAAATGGCATACCTCTAAAGACTTGTGATTCCAGTCACTAAAAATCTGCATTCAAAATATTTTATTTAGGGTTGATCAAATTTTTGACCCACTTTCACGTTAGTTATTTCTAATTTTCCGATGTCTTGTAAAAGAGTGACTCAAAACTGGACTTCTAAAGTCCATAACTTTACCAAACATAAACCGATTTTAAAGTGGCTTACCTCTAAAGACTTGTGATTCGATTCTCTAAAAATCTGCATTCAAAATTTTTAATTTAGGATTGATCAAATTTTTGACCTATTTTCATGTTAGTTATTTCTAATTTTCCGATGTCTTGTAAAAGAGTGACTCAAAATTGGACATCGAGAGTCCATAACTTTACCAAACTTAAACCGATTTCAAAGTGGCTTACCTCTAAAGACTTGTGATTCGATTCTCTAAAAATCTGAATTCAAAATTTTTAATTTAGGATTGATCAAATTTTTGACCCATTTTCATGTTAGTTATTTCTAATTTTCCGATGTCTTGTAAAAGAGTGACTCAAAACTGGACTTCTACAGTCCATAACTTTACCAAACTTAAACCGATTTCAAAGTGGGATACCTCTAAAGACTTGTGATTCGAGTCTTTAAAAATCTGCATTCAAAATTTTTAATTTAGGATTGATCAAATTTTTGACCCATTTTCATGTTAGTTATTTCTAATATTTCGATGTCTTTTGAAAGAGTGACTCAAAACTGGACTTCTAGAGTCCATAACCTTACCAAACTTAAACCGATTTCAAAGTGGCATACCTCTAAAGACTTGTGATTCGAGCCCCTAAAAATCTGCATTCAAAATTTAAAGTTAATTAAATTTTTGACACATTTTCATGTTAACGCCTTTCCAATTTTCGAAAAATGGCTTGGTCGAAAAGTGACCAAAAACCTGCACTTCTAAGCCCATAACTTTTCGTACAAACGTCTGATTGCAAATCGGTATACTTATAAATGATTGTGGTTTTAGACTATTTAAATAAATTTAATTTTCTCAGCTTATAGGTCTTTTGATTGGTGATGATAAATAGTTTTTGAAAATTAAACAAAAAACTAGAATGTATGAAAAAAATTAATTTATTAACATCTCTTTTTTGCAGCTTTAACTTTAGATAAAGCAATGGCAATTTCCACAGAGAATTCTGAATGGGATATGTTGGCCAAAAAAGTCGTACGAGAAGACAACTATGACAACGTTAAAAAGTTAATTGATGAATATCTATCAGGGGACGAGAAGATATTTCAAGAGGAAGCCGCTAAACGGAAGCGTAAGCCATCTAAACTGGAACGTGGCTGCCGCGGAGAATGGCCAAAGAAAACCTCCTCGCAACTAATATGTCGTTATAATAGGGACACGTCCCCTTTCCTTAAGATAGCACCACTCAAATTGGAGTTTTTAAATCTGAAACCTTTGGTGGTTCTTTACCACGAGGTGCTCTACGAAAGCGAATTTAAAGCAATGAAAGACATAGCCACATTTAATGCCACCATGGACGATGGTTGGACATATGTTAACTTTGACAAAGAAGGAAAGCCACAACGCCAAGATCGTGTGGTAAAAATTATTACCTTTCAGGGCACCACTGCTCCTTTTACCCTAAGTATCAATCGCCGGATTGCAGATATGAGTGGTCTGGAGATGCTGGGGAATATGGCTCTCCATCTGACCAATTACGGTTTGGGTGGTTATTTTGGTAAGCATGTGGACTACGTGGAGTTGGCCAAGAGACCTGTAAGTGGTTTTTCATATAAGTAAAATATAAATCACTAATATATTACTTTTCTACAGCCGGACTTTTTTTCTGAATTAGGAGGCGATCGAATAGCTACAGCTTTAATCTATGTAAGTGTGTTAAATATGTAACAATATAACTATATGCGTAATCGCAGTAATGAAGTACAACTATCAAGATAATTATCAAATAACCTTCAGACAAAATAATATTCTCACCCTTATTTAGGCGACCGATGTCCCTTTGGGAGGTACTACTGTTTTTACAAAACTAAAGTTATCCATAGAAGCCAAAAAGGGTAATGCCCTCATTTGGTTTAACTTGAATCATGCTGGAGATCCTGAACCGCTATCTGAGCATTCCGTTTGTCCTGTCGTAATTGGTTCCAGATGGAGTAAGTGCACCATATACATCTGTAAATAATATTATTTGGTTTTTATATTTTTTCCTTTTACAGCGATATCTAAATGGATTCATGAACGCCAGCAAATATTCAAGAAACCTTGTTTTGCCTAATATACAAATGTAAAACTCTATTAGAGCCTCCATTAGTAAGACATGTAAATAAATAGCCATCGCCCAAGGGACGAATCTCTCAATGGCGCACACAGCTTATTCACCATGGTGTCCCTTTCATTGTTTGCCATAAAAATTGCAAGTGCCACTAAATTCAGTTCTAGTATTGGCAGGGGTGCCTCCAAAGAGGGGTTAAGCTTATGTGCTTGCTCCAAATACCATTTTGCGGAAGTGCACACTTCAATAATGGAAAGGGGGCAACTGCAGCAGTCAAGCAGGGCACGGAGGACAATAGTCAGGCCGACGTACTTACGCCAACTTTGTCTATCTTGCGTCCAGGAGTCAGATAAAGGGTGCAACCATGTGATTTAAAGGGGCAACGGACAGACTTTCATGAATATTTTAGAATAGGGATGCGCAGCATCACTGACCTAGATAGTTTTAAAAATTAAAGTATGTCTAAAAGAAATATTTTTAATAAGTACCGCATTGTGTAGACTTAAAGGTCTTGGCAGGGAACTCCGCTGGCTGATTATGAATTTGAATAGTAAATTTCATAATCAAAAAGCATTTTATTTAAAACTGAAAGAATTAAAACAAGTTATTTCTTTAGCATTTGTCAATTTTTTAGAGCTCCACCCTTAAACGAAAGCCAAACTTTATATACAACAATGCAAAACTTACAAATAAGGTAGTGCCAAAGCTTAAATTCTGTTACACTAATTGGAATATTTTTGGAGTGGCATCCTTCAACTGTGCTACCAAAGCCTAACCAAGTTGATCTGGAACTTTAAATGAGTTTAAAGCCAACAAGGTTTAGTGAGAGGCCAAAGCGAAACGAAATCAGCATGAAAGCAATTGTCCAAGTTATTCCAAAGTGCCCGCAGGCAAAAGACACTCGCATTTTCAGGCAACTGGCAGGACAACCGGCTGAAATGGAAACTCAGACCGGGAACGAATCCTCTTGCTGTTGCCGTCAACGAAGCCGGAGCTGTTTTTGAAACGGGTTAAAGGGGAAGCCACGGACGAAGGCCTTGCAGACACAGAAAGGAAGTGCCGGTGATGTTGTTTATGTAGCCATTGAAAAGGCGATCCGTAGTTAAGCATTAACAAGTTAACTAAGAGCTGCTGTTGTTGACCAAAGCAGTGCAAAAGCCGCTAAAGAGAACGGGGCCAGACCTCTAAAAAAGTTTAATGGCACAATAGTTTTTCAAAGTTGCGACAATGTTTGTAGTTTAATATTGTTGCAAGATATAGTAATGTCAGTTAAGTTCGTAAAATAATTCAGTTTAAGTCTACTCATTTTAAGAAAACTCTTAGAAATACTTATAACTTTAGATAAAAGTAAAGCTTCCCTACCCAGATCATTACAACTTATCATAAGTGCAAGCAAAATAAGGTCCCAAACTGACAGAAAAACATACTGCAGGCATTGTCCCATTCAAATCCCAGGAGAAGCGAAGTCGAAAGCAGCAATGAGTAAGCCAGAAGCTCCGACAATACACTGCCGCATTGATTTACCATGCCCGCCTTTTGAAGCACCAGAATGCGGATGCACAAAAACTGCAAGAAGAAGTCCAAGAACAAGTGAATCCATTGAATGGCTTGCCAAGTTGTTGAGAAAACTGCAGCTCAGGGAGCCAGGAAAAGTGAGAAGGAAAAAATTGAAAATAAGTAGAGGCAAACGCTATCTAAAGCGTATCCACTTACCAGCAGGAGTTAGCCCGAGAATCGCGGGACGGAGAACTAAGGATGACACCACAATGTGTCCAGGGGGACTTGGCTTGGGGCATTGTAAAGCGATTTCAAAATGTGCTGAACTCTTAAGTGATTGAATTGTTATCGGTGACATGAATTTGTCCGCTGATTTGAATGGGGCGACGCTGGGAATCAGCACTGCAATGGAAAGATGGAAGATAAGTTAATGCAAGTCCACAAAATAGAAATATTATATACTAACCTGATGTCGAGGGAATGCAGTTTGGCAGCTAGCAGCCATAAAAACGTGACGCAAGTTCAAGAAATTCCCTGCAGCAAACAAGACAGAAAAAGGTATGAAATATGTTGCAAACAAATAAATTCGCCACAACCAATTTTTCAACTCTAAATTAAATAGATAAAATAATGGTTTTACAGTAATAGAGTAATATAGTTATAAAAACAAATATTATTAATACTTAAACGACAAATCAAAAGTATCAATTTCCATATTAACTTTCATATTACAAAAAATGTAAAAATTAAATTTTAAAAGCACCTATACTTTTGGAACCAACTGTGAGAGCAGGCACTTTTTCATGCGCTTTGCGTCAAGTCACTGCCCCACTGTCAATCTGCAGAGACTTGGCTATAAGGGTTTATGGCGGTCATGTCCGTGCCGCAGTTCCTTTCTGACAGCTTATGTGTGCACTCCATAAATGTGACGCTGAAAAAGAAGCCTGGAATGTGGGTTAAGCGCTAAACCTAAAAAGGCACTTGAGTACTAAATCAACTCCCATAAGGAATTTATAACTGGGAGTATTATATTATATTATATAGTTAGTTTTACATTAAATAATGTAACATGTAACAAGCAATTGAGTCTCAAACTCTAATTTTTAGAGATCCTCATCAAAGGGAAGGTCAGCGTCTTCAATTTTTCGAATATCCTCCCAGCTGATTGGCGCCTTCTTAATCATATCGACCGGGGCTTTACAATAAGGACAGGATCGGAGGTCCATCAGAAAAAATTCCTAATGAGTTCACGAACATAACAATAATTAATAATTTATATTATTAACGAGAGGGCCGGCCACTCACTGCGGGATGTTTCTCGCAAACCTCAGCGATACGACCGTGTATGTACTGATGGCAACGATCGCACTCGTAAGCTGTGTGCGGACGCATGCAGATGCAGAGCCTGCTGCTCTTGTAGCCCTCGGGCAGATCATACTTCAGCTTTGGCTGGCCCTCCGACTGGATCTGAACATTGATCTTCTCATTAAGGTCACGGATGTTGTTCAAATCCTTCTCGAACTCAAGGTACTCCTGTTGCTCGGCCTCCAGATCGGTAAGCGGCAAGGAATGGAATGATTTCGATATCGACTTTCTGATAATGGTTACTTGCTTTACCGATGGAGCCGTGAGATTTCCGTAGCGCTCCCGAAGCCGAGCGGCAATGGAATCCGGATCAGTGCCTTTGTTTACTGCAACAAATACAGCTCAAACGAATCCTACTTCGAAATAAAGCTATAATTACCGAGATTACGGTAAGATGTCATCGTCGTTTTATTTATAATATTGCTTTGTTCTAAATGTAAGAGTCCAATTCTTCAATGTCGGGACAAATATTTATAGGCCAACTTCTTTAGAAAATGAGTGATTGTATTTTAAATTCGAGCATTTTATGTTAACTTGACCGGCAAAAATGTTTAACAAAGCCTACTTTGAGTAACGGCGCTTGGCAGTGTTGTGAAACGTGAGAGGTCTCAAAACAAAGGCAAGTCGATAGGTTTCTTCATATTATAGTGACTACAAGAAACATTGAACTTAATAACAACCAAGGCTAATAATAAATATACTATTAAGCAATTAAAATTAGTTTGCAGTTAATGGTTTTTTAAATTGTCTAAATCAATTAGAATTTGTTATTACATTACACAAATAAAAAAACCCTTCGATCACAATATGTTCATGTTTATTTACTATTGACACATTTACATAATGCTTATGTATTTGTGCACGAAGGGTATACTTTTACAATATTCGTCAACGAATTGTATGTTTTTTTGTAATATCATCTTTTAACGCTTAGTCTCGGAGACTTTTAAGAAATTCGCATGGGCACCGCAGAAAGCGCACTGACGGGCGTCCATTAGAAAAGTTACCTGCGCAACAGATCATAAAATATTATTAACAGTTTTTTTTACTATCTTATAACTTACTTCGGGATGTTTTGGACAGCGTTGCGAAATGCGTCCCACAAACGACTGCTTGCAGCGGCTGCAAACAATCACATTTTCACGCTTACGCTCGCAAATGCAATATTTAACGCAATCAGGTCCCAATTTGTAATTCGTATTATTATTATACAATTTTTGGAATTCCATTATTCATCCGTATGAAACTTGTTCCTTTCTTGTCTGCTATAGTGTTGCAAAGCTACCGATCTACTGACTAATTGAAATCGGCCCATTATAATAGTCAGAGATGGGACATTTTACAGGTTCATTATCGATATGTTTCGATCCGTAGCTTAACTAGGATAAACAAACACCTTGGGCTTCAGATCACTTTTAATTCAACAATTCTCGACAAGCCCATACTTACCTTATACCCCTAAAAATTGTTATCTTTCCCAAGAATAGTATAACGATAGAAACGCTACAATAAGTGTTTCCACGTCCAGAAGCCGCGATAGACGTCCGGTCTCTGAGTGTGGAAGTCGAAGTTTATATTTTTTATGAAATGAACTTTAAAACTTTCAAAGCCGAGATCCGACTTTTGAATCTTGTTTATTCTACAGATCTTTACGCCCATCCGTATGCTAACATTTTGTTTCAATATTGGCAAACTTTATCGAAGACAACAACAAAGAAAAGCTTTTAGTTAAGTGCAAAACAACTGCCTCCGGATCCGAACAGCTGATGATTGCCACACCTAGTTTAGTTTTTATTTTCTGTCCAGCCGTCGTGCATTTCGTTCCCCACGTGTTTCTTGGTTTTCCTTGCTTTCCACTGTTGTATTTGAAAATTGGGTTCAAAAAAGTTGTCCAGAAAACCAAGAAAAATGATTAATTACCGAAATCTTTGATTTGTTTCGATATTTTCTGTTATCGGAGAACTCACCAGCACACTGTACCCCCAGGTGATTCACAAGGTGTTCCAATTCCGCGACAGCTTAGTGAGTGCCCAGCCCTGAATTTTCACTTCGGTAGTTTACTTTAGGAACGATATCATTTCCATTTAAGTTCAAAATGGAAAACCACACTAACATCTTGGATTTGCCGTTGGAAATTCTGGACTTAATTTTGAATGAACTAAGTTTTGAAAATAAGTTAAAACTTGCCCAAGCTGATCAGATTTTGGAAGTGGCATTTGCCTATCACTGCCGCAATAAATATAAAAAAATTTCATCTCGGACTTTTCCACTCGAGAATTGGTCGGACTTCTTGATGGTTTATGGCCGAAACGTTGATGAAATCAATGTTGATGGCTTAAATGTTCAACATTTAAAATTAATTGAGGAACATTGCTGCAACCTAAAGATCGTAAGTGGTTTATATTTAAAAGATCAAAAATGCTCAGCGGCCAGCAGTTTGATCCGCGGATTGAAAAGCCTGACGTCTATGGAAATAACTATAACTAATGATAACACAGCGGAAGTAATTCATGTCCTGCAAGATGTTCCAAATTTAAAAATATTAAATATCTGTTATTTAGGAGAAACTGAAGGTAAGACAAAAATTATATAAACGAATGTTGATTGTTGATTGACGTATTCTTTCAGATGAATCATCTAGCTTTGAGATAGGTAAGTTGCCTTCTATAGACATCTATGCTCTTTTGACTTAATTTATGATCTGCATTTTCAGCACACATACACAAATTAACCAATTTGGAAGAATTGAGCATGGGCTCGACGTTTGCCTCTTGGGCAATTAACATAAAGGATCTTCCATCCCAGTTAAAAATGCTTCATAAATTAAATTTAACTAGTGTAAAAATTGTTTCTACGGCTAAAGATATGGAGTTTGTTTTTCCCGCTTTAGAAGAGCTATTCATTGATAATTCACATATTGATGTTCAGTTTCCATATTGCCCAAAGCTTCGTTCGATGAGACTATTGAATTCAAAATATCCTTCAAGTGATATTCTCGTCAAATGGATGTCGAACCACATTAAAACTTTGGAATCATTTCATTCCGATAGTAAAATATTCAACAAAAATGTTTTGCTTAGTTTGTTTTCATCAAAAACATTCAAAGAATGGGAATTTCCGGAAATAAAAAATCTTGTCATTGAAAATTCCAAGATTTGGTTTCCATTACCATTTTGTCCAAAACTAAAATCATTGGAGCTAACTTCCGCGACCTTTTTCTCCATGAATTTTTTCTTTAAATGGATTTCAAAACACGAAAATACCTTACATAAATTAAAAATAGGCCATAAATTATTTGAACAAAATTGTAGCTTGACTAAACTTTCAAAAATTCAATCTCAAAAATGGATACTACCTGCTTTGAAGGACCTAGAAATTTATTCTCAAACCATCTCTTACGATTTACCATATTGTCCTAACCTTTTAAATTTGGACTTGGAATTTTCTGAATGTCACTCAATGGATTACTTTTACAAGTGGATGGATAAACACTCAGGCAATTTGCAAAGCTTGCAATTAACAGATAAATTATTTGATGAAACTAGAATTCTTAATTTTCTATCAAAATGCAACAAAATAAGCAAATTTAAAATTTCAACATTTTATATAAAAATTTCCTTTGGATTTATGAATTCACTAATTGGCATACTAAAGAAAAATGGGTTCACTTCAAAAAATCCATTTGAAATTACATTTTCGTCAAATGAATATCTGGATATACAACGTATGGTAAGTGTCCTGTGAATAATTTCCTTCTTTAATAATTAAATGTTTTTCAGCTGACTAAAATACCAAATTCCGAATTATGTAAATGCGTTGGAGGGAAAAACGTATTAGATGATCTTGATATGGATATGGATGAGAGTTTCAGCGACATGATAAAACTTTTTTAAAAACTTTGTAAAAAATAATAATAAAATTAATTTTGTATTTGGATGGGTTATTATTTTACAACTTTTGATGGGTTCGTATATGACTTAAAACCTTGTCAGACAGTTTTCAAATTTGGTTCTAAATTTATAGCACACATAAGGTATTTTTCAAACGTGAATTTTTTAATTATTTTTATAAATAAAATGTTTTGTTTTACAATTTCAGATTTGCATTCAATATTTTTAAATAACAAAATTCTGTTCTTGGTTTGAGCGTCGGCTAAAGTAGCACATTTCCCAACCCCTGAGCACACTACAGTTGTCTCTTTCTCGCAGACAAGAGTTAGAGGCGCCGCAACTTGAAAACCGACATTCTGAACGCTCAGCGTACCGACGGCTCGTTGGTCTAGAGGTATGATTCTCGCTTCGGGTGCGAGAGGTCCCGGGTTCAATTCCCGGACGAGCCCAAGTGAGGTCGAAGTAATTTTTTTTTCACGATACAAAAAACATAATTTTTTCCGTGTCTTCTATAAATTGGTCATGGTCATTTCTATCCCCATTCCTATCATTAAATTAAAATAATTGTGGTTACCCGCACGAGTAAATATTATTCTTCCATAATACTTTTCCCTCCTAAATCACAGTCTCAAACAAAATATATATTTATATAAACAGCCAGATTTTTAAAAGACTCTGATTTAGTAGAGATTAAATATTATAATTTAAATAAGTATAATTAATGTTGGAGACCAACAAATGTTTGTTTTTGTTCATCAGTGTAATCGAATGTGTCATAAGCTTAAAAAATATTTCATAGCATGCCCAACTGATAATATAAAATGAACAGTGGAACAGCACTGTTCTCGTCGCGATATTTAGTTAATTGTGTGTTTTTTTTATATCCCTGGTTTAATATTTATGTATAAATGTATAAGCCAACTGATTATTTTATATCATTTCTTTAGTTTTTAGTATTATGGATTTGAAATACTTAGAACAAAACGGGTATCCCCACATATCTATTGTTTAGATTACAATTTTCAATAATTTCTTTTTCGTTCTCTATTGTTCCAATGTTTTGAGTATGTGAGCTTAATTAAACCCAATCGAGGGAACACCCAGTATAGGATTTGTTGCTTTTTGCGTTAAGATTACTTAATTCGTAAGCGCTGCCGCGGCCTTGTCTGTTGTTTGTGTGTTTATTCGTAATGCATGGGTTTCGGTTTTTGTGTTTTTGAGAGGTCCAGTCGCTTTAATCGATCCCAGCGGATATCCTCTATTCGTATTCCAGCACGTTTTTATGGTAGAACAATAAATAACTGAAATGAAAAAGAAAAACCAAATGCATAAATACTTATTGGCAAATCTTGATATCGTTTTCAATCTATTTTTTCAGAAATAAATAAAAAATAGAAGTATATAAAAAATTTTAAAGATGTAACAGGCTTTTAGTTACTGCTAAAATATATATTTTCTAGGCGTTTATATACTCTAAACAATGTTTTTCAAATTATAGACAAAAACAAATAGAGAAAACTGTCAGTATAGATAATCCTTACCCCTCGCTGTCCAGCACCTGTTTGAGCGATGCCATTGTTATCACATGATCATCGCACTTGACCCACGTATCCTTCTGATGCCGCACATACGCCGTGTAATGTCCAGTGTCGATTGTGCCCACATGATTGACCACGGCATACAAAGAGAACCGGAAATCCCCATAGGCGTTCTTTTTCTCCGACATAAAGGGCGTCATATCGAACTCCACTGGGAATTGGATGAACGAGGAGATCTTGCGATCGATTAAAGCCGAGTGCTCGAAGCGTTTCAGGTGGAAGGACACCACGCTGGGCAGAGTGCGCAGACTGAACTGTTTGGTCGACTCCTGGTAGGATTTGCAGGTGGAGCACTTGATTTTGGCCGCCGATCCGAGGTGCTCGGCGCGAGTATACCGCTCCAGACAGTCGATTAGGGTCTTGGGGGTCACTCCACCATGAGTTGTCGTTTCCCCCAGATCCAGCGAAATGTCCCAGAAGGGATCATAGGTGGTGGACACTCCGTTGCATGCCTGGCACACCACGTCGCTCTGCAGCATGCCCGTGAAGATCTGATCGATGATGCAATTACACTGGCCGTAGCAATGCGAGCTGCTCGAGCTGCTGGAATTCGTTCCACTTCCCGATCCAGAACTGTTGCTCTTGCTCTCGTGCTCCGACTTGGCCTTCACACAGTGCCGATGCAGCACATCCAGAGTGGCGATGAAGAACTCGTGCGCATCCTGCTGCTCGTAGCCGGCCAAGTGTTTCGCATGGTTCCAAATTAAATGCAGAAGCCGGTGCAACGACAGCGGCGAACGGGAGCCAGAATAGAACTCCTAAAAATAACAAAAATACAATAGTAAGTATGAATTTTTAATCTGACTTGTTGTTCTTAAAAACTTGAATTAAAATATATGGTTATATAGTGTATCCTCTTTAAAAAAGGTATTAATAAATATTAACTCTAGTCAATCTCTAGTTTTCTTCTATTTCAGAATGAATTAAATTTTTTGAAAGAGTTAGTTTTCCTCAGTATAAATACATAAAATAATTATATTCCTATTATAGGCGTAGATAAAGGTATCAAGTATGTATGCCTCACCTGGAAGAGACGCGAAACTTCGCAGACGAGACATTTGTGCGAGGACTTGCTGCCGCAGTCGTGGCGATCTGACATGAAGTAGTCACTCAGCAGGGGAGTGTGAACCAGAGCCTGGAGGGTAATAGACTGAATTATTTCGGGAAATTCGTAGATTCGTGATAGAAACCCACCTGAACAATGCAGTTCATAAAGCAGGTGGCCCCCAGATTGAGCAGTCCTCTCAGTCCGATGGTTTGATTGGGCCTCACCATCCGGCGCCTTGCATTGGCCAGCAGAAGATTCGTCTCCTTGGCCGTCGGAATCCATGGCTGCCAGCCGATGCTCTTCTGGAGATCCTTGGCCTCCAACTTGCGGTTGATCAGCGCATATTCCCTGCTCCTCGCATCGTAAATAAAATCTCTGCAGGCGTAGCAATAGAGCGTTCCGTGGGACAGCTCCAGGGCCACATTGTGCTTCTTGGATCGCAGGTGACTCGTGATGTGGGCCCCTCGACATCCAAAGTAGATGCAGTGCAGGCACGCGTACAACTGGATGCCGTAGCTGCCACACTCAAAGCAGTTGCAGTGGATCGCCTGAGAGTTAGAATGGGCTATTATGGGTACTACGGGGGAACGTAATTTTTACTCCTAAAAATTATAATATAACCACAAGGGAGGTGTTGTTCTGAGACCGACAATATCACTTTTTCTTCTAAAGATTAATTTGTATGTACATACTTGGACAACAATAGTAAGAATATTTTTATATATTCCGTTAATTTACATTTTTTAAAAAATTTGTTTCGCATTAGTAAATGAAAAATTTAGAACACCTTCTGCAGAACCAAAAAAAAAAACTTGATCTAGGAGGGTTAGTTCAGTCAGAAATTATCAACCCCCTGACGGTGCGTAAAATATCAGCTGCCTGGAAATTAAAACATGTTCCATTAATCAAAATCTGCTGTGAAATCAATTAAGTGTCAACACTTATAGTCAGCTACTCTATTTTTTTATCTTTATATCTTTCGACTGTGTCAGAGACCTAATTTTTTTTACTAGGTAGCTCTTTTTGTCTCTTTCCCACCCACTTAAGGCATTTCACCGGGTTCACTTACGGGTATATTAGGAAAAAAAAAGTAAAAGAGTACGCTAATGTATAAATAAAGCTAATAAAACATTTAATATAATGTTGTACCTTATTTATTTTAATAAACTGGCAGAAATATTAATATATTTGCGTCCAATATACATACAAACATACGTAAGTTTGCTTTGAATATTTTAGCAATAAATATTGGAACCTAGATGGAATAGCTGTCATACCTGTTGTTTGTTTCACATCCTCTAAATATTCCAACATTTTCCCAGTGGGATTTACTCTGTGGGAACAGTGGGGTTATCTACTGTCAGTGACCTTTGCCGTGACTAATTCACAGTTATGCAAATAATGACGCATCTCTAATTGCGTTCTCCCTTTCGCACTTTCTCACCTCTGCATAACCTCTCGCATCTTCTCGTCCTTTCCCACTCCCACTCACCTTCTTCTCGCGCGCATCTCTGTTGACGCAGGCAGCGAAGTAGGCGTCGATGACCCGGAATGTATCGTAGCTGTGCTCCTTCACGTAGCTCTGATAATGCCGACAGCCCGTCTCTGACATGACAGCGCTGCTGGCGTCGGCGTCGCTGTTGACGTTGGCGTCGCTGCCGTCTTTGGCGTCGGAGCTCTCAAGTTCAATAGCAAGTTTTTGCACGGTACGCAAACAGTCGGATAATTGTAAATTAGTTGTGGCATCTAGGGGGCTTTGGCCCTTTTTTTGCTTGCTGTTAACAGTTTTGATTAGATCGGAAGTGATAAACCGACCGGCATTTGTTGTTGCTGTCGCTGTTTCGTTCTCGGCCGTTCCCCGGCCCGTTTCCGCACCCACCACCCCCCGCCGTTGCTTTTCGCTGCCCCTGCCGTTGCCCGCGTCGCTGCCTGCGCTGACGCCGCTGCTCTGGCTGCTGCTGCTAAATACGCTCGTATTACTATCAACACTATTCTCTTTTGTTTTCGCCCGTTTCGCCGTCGGCTGCACTGGCACGAATGCTTTGTCACACTTGCGCTGTTTTCGCCGAATTTTGGCCACTTTAGCGGTTCGCCCGGCCGTTTAGAGTTCTGCAGTTAATTCTGCAGCAAATTTGTTAGATTTTTGTGTGATTTTTCGACTGCTTTTCTTGTTTCGGTTTCAGTTCTGTTTCGCACTGCACACACACACACGCAACACGCATCTAGCCGACGTGTATGTGTTTGTGAAGAACGGCGAAGACAGCTGGCAGTGTGACCAGTTGCAGGTGCGCAGTAAAATAATGTGTTTACCGCGCGGTTGGTATTTAATTGGAAGTTTTCCAAGACGTACTCCACAGGTAGCTGAGACACGCTCCGCAGTTGGGGACACGAACCATGCATTTTTTCCCCATCTTAATTATTGTTCATTCTCTATTGATGGGTTATGTAGCGCCGACAAACAACCCTTCTGCAGCAGTCTTTATTTAAGTGGTATCCCTAGCTTAAAACTATCTTAAAACTGACTTAATATATATAGACCAGTCAAACGATTTTCGTACTTGTACTCAAAAAATAGTTACGAAAATGATTTAAAATTTGATTTTGATTTTCAGTATTTTGAACTTTTAAATTTATCTGGTCTCACTAAAAAACCAAACGGTAAAATTGGGCCAGCTGATGTGTTATCGAAAGCAACCAGCGTGTGGCGCGCAATCAAAAAATACCAAAATTGTTATGATCGTCAATGGGGCTTTGTCAACATTACAAATGAATAAATTATTGAATATTAAACAATAATTCAAGCGAAAACCAAAGTTTCTCCATTAAAACACTTGCATTTGGCATCCTCATTTTCGAATCGCCAACGATTCGATAACTCCGCTGCGACGCTTACCAACACTGCAGCATTTGAAAATACTGACATCTTCCTGCGAATCGCGGCAGGCGCCCTTGTGCCGCATTTAATTTTAGTAGAAATTAGGCGAATTTGTGTTTGGAAAAGATGTACAACGACGAGGTGCGAACGCCGCAAGCCCTCAAGAATCGATATTTCACGAATCTCAGTGGACTCAAGTGCCGGGCGCGCAGAAATAGCCACACAAACAGCAACAACTCGACGGCGTCGGCGGCAACGCCAACGAATGGCGGCAAGGAAAATCGAAAATGCAGCCCCCAAATGTCGGGAAATGGAAATGTGTGCACCCCGCCCCCAAAAAGGCTGCACAAGGTGCGCAATCCTTTTGAAGGCGCGATGGCGGATCGTTTGCACCTGCCGCTGATTGCCAGGTGAGTTTTCCTTCTGCCTCCGGAATAATTACTCTCTCACTCTTCCACTCTGATTTTCCCTTGCAGTCCGTCGCTTTTCCGATCAAGGACCCCCCAACTTTCGTCCACTCAGTTCGAGTGGAATATAGACGAAGTCTCCCAGCTGAAACCAGCCGATGTGGAGCCCCACGAAACACAGTTCCACGATTCCCCCGATCCCGAGCAGGAATCAAAGGCCCAGCTGGCCATCAGTGCCTTTTTCAAGGAGTCGCACATTGTGCCCAGTCCCGTCGATTGTCCGCTGAGGAAACAGCGCATTATACTCAACCACAACGAGGATAACACCCCCATATCCAACAAGTCCCGGAGGAAGAGGGACTGCGAGGTCCAAACGGAACTCACTCTGCCTCCGATACTGCCAAAGGCCCTGGAAGATGCACTGCGTCCCTATTTCCAGCCTCACTTGGCCGGCCGCCTGTCGGGCAGGAGTAAGTCGAGTGGCGGCCACGACATATTCAACAGTTCCATGCGCAGGAAACTCTTTGATCTGCACAATGTCATTGTCTTGGGCGAGCAAGATCCCGGCGAGCAGTCATCACCCATGGTGGGCTCCAGTCCACAGGGCAAGCAGACTATGTTTGCGGGCAGGCTATCGGACTCCGCCTCCGGAGAAGGAAGTTTCGGCTGCCTTTCGCCGATCAGAAACCTCTGCGGTCTGCCGCCAGGAACGCCGGATGATGGCAATTGCTCCGGGAAGAGGAAACTACTCATGCAGGAGCTGGGGCTGCCATCGCCCATTGCTCCGTCCGAGCATCTCAGCCGGAGATTGGTGTACTCCAAGGTGGAGGTCAGCGTCACAGAGCAGCAGGATACGTTGTCGGAGCGCACGGCCTTGAAATTCACGCCAGACAGGAGTTCCTCGCCGATGGGCGCCTTGGAGCACTCGGATTGCAGCATAAATCAGAGGGTTCGTCGACTGCGGGTGAATAGCACACGACAGGTGGTGATTGAGGCGGGGGATCAGCCGCTGTTCGAGGAGACCGAAGAGGAGGAGGAGGAGGAGGCTGAATCGGGGGAGGACGAGGAAGGAGAGGCCGAGGCCATGCAATTGTCGACCCTGAGTTTCAATTGCAGCTCATCCAATTCGGATACTCCGCGAGGACATAAAAGACATCGTTCCGCACAGCGCAAGAATCTATCGCAGTCATTCAGTGCCAATTTGGAGGACCAGGAGCAGGATCAGGATCCGGAAGCGATCCTGCAAGCGGAGTTACCCTTGATCGTGGTGCCACAGCAAGGACCCAGGATTCCGCTTTATCGCACCGACAGTGGCTTCAACGAGACCTCGAGTACCTCGACCTTTGCCTGCTCCCAGGACTTACCATTGGACGTGTCCATGGCCTGCTGCTCCACTCCCTCCACCCGCTCTTGACCTCTGCAATCCGCTCTTCTAGTTCGTAGGCTATTTAATGCAATAACTCCTTTTCCCAGGCTAAAGAGAGGAAGACTCGTGTTTTAACTGCAATGTAAACCCACCGTTTATATATTTTTTATTAATAATTTTTGTGTTCTTAGTGAAAATTGCCAAATAGTCAAGTAAGCTGCCCGTTTCTGTCATTCATTAACCTTATTCATTGTCATTGTGTTGTTTAGGGAATTCAATAAAGAAATCTTTTGATGCCATATTATGTTTAATAAACGGAGATAAATTTTTATTACATTGATAACATCCAGTTAAGGTCAAGGCTCTACCTAAGGATAACATTTACTTGATGTTTTAAGAAGTTTACAAAGATTTTTGGGTTTTCAAAATTAAACAAGCTAAAGGATCTACTTAAATGTTATGGAAAAAATAATATTTTATTTAAATTAGTTGGGTATCAAAAGGATCCTGTCAAGTTATCCATGAGCAGGATTTCATATTGTTTTAATAAAATGTTATTTTAAATACTAAACATTTTAGAAAACTTTATTTAGTTATTAAATGTTTTGGTCTAAGTTAATAAAAATAGATCCAACAGTGAGTTTTTTTTTATAAAATTTAAGGATTCAAAGATGACAGATAATTTTTTGTAATTTTTTTATATTTAATTTTAAGTTGTAGTTTGGACTCGAACCATTTCATCGAGTTTTTAGCGTTGACTCAAACCGATCTTGCCAATAACATTGGGGCAAAATGTAACAGTGGAATTTGAAAAACCCAAAGAGAGCGTTATTTTTCCTGTTTTTCGGTATATAAACGGCGCTCTCCTCTCATTTTTGAGTTTGCACGCGAGAAGAACGGTCGGCTTTTGTAAAAAATATCAACAAAAAAGTAATTGTTTGTTTTGGGAAAAATTCGAGTTCTTGATATTTGAATATATTTTATTATATTTAAATTCCGGTACGAATTTGCGGTTCTGTTCACGTGTTTTTCGAATTGAGTGAGTTGCAAAAGAGGTGCATACCGGGTTAAATGAAAACTGTTAAAACAAAGAATTTAATTTAACCGAAATTTTTCATACAATCTTCGCTGAGATTTCTGCACTAATTTTCACCTGGTTGTGCGGGAGTGTGTGTGTGCGTGAGTTCTTTATAAATAGCAAAAGAGAAGAGGAAAAAAGCCGATCGCTTTTTGGGCCATAAAAATGCCGAAAGAAAGTGCGGAGCGAGATAAATAAAAAAAAATATATTTGTTTGTGGGCCAACAAGATAAATTAGAACAAATCGTAAATAAGTCGGGCGCCAGAAGGCCAATAGGAAAAGAAATCTATATAAATCGCAAACACAACCGAGCGGAAATGTGCAAATTGATGGAAAATTAAAAAAGTAAAAAAGTAGCAAAACAAAAAAAAAAGAAAAAAGAATTCCTGTTACAAGAAACCAGTTCCTAACTCCCCACCTACTTCTTTCTGGCTGCATCCGTTTTGAGCGAAAGTTTTTTTTGCGCCCGCCCGTCGTCCACTGTGCGAAATGTGTGCAAACAAGTTGGCCAGCTGTTTGCCCAGAAGAGGAAGATAAAGTGGCGGCAGGGGAGTGGGGTGGCCAAGATGGGGAAAAATCTAGCCAATTAATTGTGCCGTGAAAGTGTGCGCCAAGTCAATGTCTATAATAAACACAATTTTTTACAATTTGCAGTCGTGCTTTTTGCGCGTTTCGATTCAATTTGATTGAAAGCAACTTTGCGAAAAGAAAAAAATTTATATAAACTAACAAAAACGGAAAGTCTCGCCTTGCAATTGGACTTGAATGGTTAACGGCCTTTTTTTTGCGCCCGGATTCGAGGTAAGCCTGTTTAACGAGGGACACTTTTTAATTTTCACGCGGATTTCGCGTTTAAGGCAGGCGACAAATTATTTCGGAGTTGTATGCAAAAACACGTTTTTCACTTAATGGATGTCGTGTATTTAAGGTGTTCATTAAAACTATTTTTACAACTTAGGATATTTCAGATAATGCTACTTACTACTAATGTGGCTATTTATTACCAATAATATATTTGGAGTCTTAAAAATTTCCCAAAAACAAATTAATTTGAATATTTTTACCAAGAAAAGGTTTAGAATTTTTCTTTAATCATTTTAATTATCATTTATGTACACAATCAAAGCTGATATTTATTTTTATCTTACAAATTTTAGCTTGTTTTTTTTCTAATTTTTACATTTTATATTTATAATCATTGAATAACAAACATTTTTGAGAACCGGAACTGTATTGTTAATTTATGTTCGAGCCCGGTTTTATACTTACAAAAAACGAACATTGCTAAGAGATTTTATTGATGTATCTCTTATAGCCTAGATCTTTAATGAACTAATTTCCCAAAGATTTCTAATTTCAAACGACTGCAGTAGCTTTTGGATAGATTGCCTGGGTAAATTTTAAATACTTTAATATTGCAGAATACGGGAAAGAAGTGTGTGTGAGCTTTTTCTGCACTAGTTAGAACGGAATAGGGCAATCAAGAGTGTAAACAACAGTTAAATGTTGTTAAACTCGAATCCAGCCGACTGCTTTCGTCACATGTTATACGCTCGTAGTCGCCGTAACCCCACACTTTTTCGCCCTTCTGCCGACGAGTTCTTTGCCTTATCTCTCAACCCTTGTTATTTTGTTGTTCCTACTCTTTTTTCTTTTTTTCTTTTTTTGTTATGCGGCCGGTTCTGCGGCTTTTGTATAACTTCCGCTATTGTTATTATTTTTTTAGTTGTTCGTAGGAAGAAGTGTAATTAAACAGAGGCGGCGAGTGGTGGGGAGGGGCCCTGCAGCAACTGCAACAGCAGCAGCCGTCTCACGGGAGTTGCCACCTCGAAAACCGGTTACAAATCATTAAACTAAAATTCTAAAGTATATTGTCTGTGTGCCCCGGCATCTGTGTCGCCGTCCCTGTCGCACCTCGCCCCGTCTCGCTTCCACCTGCACGCCTCAGTGCACTGCCGCGCATGCAAGTGCAACTTGTTGCAGCAACTGTTGCTGCTGCTGCTGCTGCTGCCGTGTGTTGCATGTTGCTGCCAACATGCGCTGCCGGTGCACTTTCATTAAACGGACGGAATAGGCCATCGGCAAATGTTTGATTTGAAGGAAAGTGTGTGGAACAGGTCTGTCAAAAGTACAAGAGTTTGATTAATAAACCATTAGTTTTGTGGCGCATAGAAACTCCACTTTTTGAAGATTTTATTTAGAACAGGTCTCTCAAAAATTGATACTTGCAAAACAGATAATTTATTAAAGACATGTATTGGTTCAAGATTCAAGATCAAGATAATGTTTTATTTTTTGTTTAGCTCCAATATGCAACAGAAACTACATAATTGTTCAAAAATTGCAGTGTTAAATAGTGTGGAAACTATAAAAAATGTATATTATCTTTAAACAAAGTGAATATTAATGTAAATATATGTATCATAAAAGGTCTCATTCACAACAAATCATTTTGTATAAAGGAAAATAATGTAATTAAATTACAAAATAATGTTATATATTAAAATGCTTTTCACTTATGTTTTACTATTTATTTAAAATAAGTACCTCATAATTTATTTTGATGCCCAATTAAGCAACCATGAATCAGAATAATAAAAGCCCATTTGGTTTTTTTTTAATGAATCACTACCTTTTTATTTCGACAGCATAACTTTAAGTAAAGTTTACTAATTTCAGAGCATCTCGACTTCTGTATCAGCATTTGGCTAAACTTTCCCGTTTTTCCTGTTTCGGTTGCAAAAAAAAACTAATTCGATTTGTCTAATATTCAAAATCGAAAGAGGGAAAAACTCGTTTATCGGCATCCTTGTGACACACTGACATCTTTTGCTAATCTGGGGACAGCCCCCTTTCTCCTCCCCCTCGCACTTTGCTTAATTAATTCTGCTTTTGGTTTTGTGTGCGGCCACCTATCAAAGTCCCCCGATTCCCAACTCCCCTTCGCCCTTCATTGTTTGCCCCGTCATTTGCATTGATTTGCAAATTTTTTTATTGGCCGTTTCGATTCGAGCCTGACGTAATTTGTTAAACTTTGTTATTTACCTCGCTGACATCGATAGCTAACTAATCAGCGCTAGCTTTTGTTGACTTTAATTTATTACTGAGGGGTATTCGAGCTTATTTAATCGCCAAGGACTCTGTCTCACACTCCCATTCTCAGTCTTTTATCGGCTATTCCTTAATTGTTTATAATACTTTTATTCAGAAAAATACATAAATTAATTAACAACATAAGTTTGCTTCAATTAGCGTTGTGTTCCTAGAATTTTAAAATACGATCCAGGTAGATCCAACTATCACAACACAATTATATAATCTACTTCTTGTGTGTATTTATTCCATATTATTTAACTGATATGCATTAAGAATATGAGGTAGGTTTATTAACCCCCACTTTACTATTGATTAATCCACATACTATTTGCTATAAATTTCATTTATTTTTAACTGTGTATGTGTAAATAAAGGACTTTTATCAGAATCGTTTTCCCATATATTTGATCATTAAAAAGCAATAATAAGTTCCATTTATTCGATTCCATTTTGCTCTTGCAAAAGCCTTTATAATAGAGGTCTTATTGTACAAAACAGAAGTGCATTTTACTTGCAATTCAATACAGTCATTTTCTGTTCCTGCTAATTTCTATTTAGAAGATCCTCTACATAAATAAAACTGACATTTGTTTCGAATTGTCTTTTCCTGTTGAAGTACCATTTCATCGTTAGTAAATATTCTCCAGATGGAAAGGGCAGGTGTAAAAGTTCCGGTTTCAGATAAAAATCTTTGACAACTTGTAGACCCTGTAAAGGAATTATTATGACCAAATATATGTAATAGACTCTGAATAACTTACCACATATGGACAGGTGTGATTAATGTTGGTAAATTCTTTGAAAATATTGTAGACGATACTAATGAATGGATCGTAAGGTTTCCGCATATACCTGCAGGCATCTATATTGGACTCAAGTACCCAAGGCTTAAAACCACTGGCCCTTTTAAAGATCTTGGCATGAAGATGGATGTTATTGACCGGGTGGAGAACAGTTCCATTCATATTGAGCAGAACCCTATCGCGACTGACGGCCTTCAGACGGTAGTTGTGGAATACGAACCACGACAGGTTGTAACTTTTGCATTCAAAATTCGTAAACTTGAAAACAACTGCGTCCTGTAAAAATGAATTAGTTTTTAATCACATATAAAACTTTTTCATTTCACTTTTCCCACATTTAGTACAACATTTAAAAATAAAACTGCCACAATAATAGGAATTAAGTTGGTCCACATTGTTCTGCTGTAAAACTATAATAATGGATTGTATAAAATGTTACTTACTGGCTTTGGCTGGGCATTAGATTTATTTCCGCTCGAATGAAGCAATAATTTGCAGTGTAATTATGATTTTGTCATAAATATGTAATTATTTTAAAATTATATTCCCACATTTAGAAATTGGTATAATTTTATAACACCTTAAAATAGTTGTTAGATAAACAAATGATGAGTTACAATACCAAAAAAAATCCCCTTTCAATACTGGCTAATCCGAATGGATATGTACTATTCAGAGTCTCCTGTGTGTATTCCAAATTTGGTTTGAAATTTGATGCCTTAAATTGAAATTTGACATTGAGGAAGTCCCGACCTCCCCACTTTTCCCTTCTTGTTTGCTCACATCTGTTTAATTAGTGTACAAGGCAGCAGCTGTTGAGTTCAGACGGAAATCCAAAATCCCCGAAACCAAAAACACACCAGACTTTTCAACAGGCCCTTGAGTTTGTCTGCGTTTACTTATTAAACTGATATATTTTACTTTTTTCCCTAAGAGGTTCTGTATATAAGTAAGCATATGCGAGCGACTTGTTAATTGCGCACTTTGCATTCTATTGCAAGTTCATCATGTTTAACGGTATCGTTTCCAACTGCAGGGATAAAGACGAACCTGACTCAAAAGACAGTTAACTAATTCAATTAGTGCCACGTGAATTACCCGTCCGAAAAGTCAGGGCAAATGGGCCAACCGAAGTGAGAGGTAGGAAAGAAAGGAGGGAATAAACTGGACAGAGACGAGTCAAAACTTTTGTTATCCCATTGTGTCTGCTGTCGAGATGATTACTTGAGGGACACAGAGGGAACCTAAGTAGACCCGGGGCGAAAAGGGAACTCAGAGGTGGAATATTCTCGGAACCCTCCACCACCGAACCATTTGATTAGATAAGGTTCTGAGTATAGCCTTTTGTTGAGAACGACATGAGTACCTCCATTTCTATTGCAAAGAAAACGAGTGTAGAAAGAAGTAACCAAACAAAAATAAATAGAAATTAAAAACGTAATACATAATTAGACTAGATCTGGTAATTTAATGATGATAATAGACAGTTAAGTATAGAACATCATATTTTTCTTGGATTTTTAATATAAGAACAACGATAGAATATATACATATAAATACTATATGTTATTTACATTTATCTTGGATTTTGAATAGTTAATAAATACGATTGGACGAAGAATAAAATCATTATATTTACTAAATTACAAATTCAAACTTATAAGAACTTAAGAACAGTAGTAAACTTCAGCTGAAATGTATAAAGTAAATAAAAAATACTTGGGCTCACAGTTCCATGGAAAGTTTATGTTTAAGTTTCACTTGCCAAACTTTGTATAAGTTTGGCTTAAATTTGAGTCCAAGCGTATCTGGGCCCTCAAATTATCGTTATCGAATTCGAGAATCTCCGTTGACCTTGTTTCCACTTGCTGCCCCATCTGTGGCCCTTAATTTGACCATCTAGAATTTCGATGTGAATTAGCCAAATAGACTTGTTTTGGCCCGGTTTCTCCACCCTGTCCGGCCTATTATTGTTGTAGAAGAGACGCCGGGCTTCCAGTAGAAAACAAAACTTTTGTTCCAGTTTCATTTGGCATTGTTTGCCGGCTTCTTCTTCTGCTGTCTTTTATTATCCCAGAGTTTTGGATAATATTGCACAACAAGTACAACATTGACACAACTTTTCTAGTGGGTGTCAACGTTGTTTTGGTTTTGTTAGTGCAAAAGTCCCACGCCCACGGCCACGACCACGCCCACATCGCCGCACCGCAATCCCCGCCCTTAAACATAGCAAACAATTGTGCTTTTGTTTACTAATTTGCGGCTGTCTCTGTTTTTGTTGCCAGTACCAGAAGTTTTTTGCCTTTGACTTTATCGCCTGTTTTGTTTGCTTTCTTTGGCTTGGTTTAGTTTTTGGCTATTTGCTTTTTGTCTGCCGAGTTGAAAGTTCATTTGCCGTTTTAATTGCCAGCTAATAGCTCGAAAGTTACTCGTATTTTCATTTTATTACCCTTTTTGTTTTGCTTAGGGTTTTTTCGCCTTTTATTTTGTTTATTTCTGTGGGTGAATGCCAAAAGTTATGCGGGCAAGCCTAGGGATATTAAAATACGGAAAGAGAGAGTGAGATCAAAGTGAAGTTTCTGACATTTGGTGCTGGCAAAACTGGAATTATTTTGACATTTGTTGGCCTTCTGGCAATTTGATAGTTTTTCTGACAGTTCTTTATTTCTTTATGTTTATTTTTTTCTAGCAGTGCTACAAAAGTGTTATTTTAAAATGGAAGTTAGTTTGTCAAAGGAGATAAACAAAAACAAATTTAACGCAGAATTGAAAGTATATAATTGTTGAGAATTCAACGAAGATCCATTTGATCAAATAATTTTATACTGAAATGATTTAAACTGAAATTGGAAATTCAACGCTTAAATAACCAATGAGTATATCGATTTTGAAGATACTAGAAGATTGAAAGGGTACAAAATATTTCAGGAACTATAAAAGCCATTTCTTTGAAGAAGAAGTATAAATACAATTTTAAGCTATCAATTACAATGATTAATTTTACAGATTAATTTAAAATTTTTATGGAATTTCGTAATTTAATACTGAAAGTATAAATCAACTGAAGAATCCGACATCTGACCTTTACCTGTTGCTTTTAGCCCCCTGGGGATGTAATTTCACCTTTCATCTGCCTGAACTCTCTCCTCGTTGGCCATTTTATCAGTCAAGTCCGGCAATTAGCCTGTTGGCAGTTGGCTAGTACTTCAGAGCAATTTCCTTGTTTTGCGGAAACTTTTCCATTTCTTTTCATAATTTTTCTTTCGACCAAGTTTTGCCGAGCTCTAAATTGCCTCCTCTTTTCCTGCGTAATATCCATTAATCAAACTTCTGCTCTTTTTCCAATCTCTTCTATTTTATGTTTCTCTATAATTTTTGTTGCTCCTTTAACTTGTTTTCCTACGGGTTTATTTTTTTTTGTTTTTTATTATTGTTGCGGGCACAAAGTTTTTTCTTTAAAGGGGCACATTGCCCTTGGGCTTCTCAGCCAGTTGATGACCCCGCACGCGATTTTACCTCTCTATCTCTAACCACATTTCATTCTCTGGCTCGTGAATATTTCACGCTTTTTCTAATTGCCAAACGACTTCTGTTATAATTTGTTGGTTCTTTTTTCAGCTGATTTGCGATAGAGAAACAGAAACTGTCAACGCAAGTTGAAGATAAAAAAAAATTGAATAGAATTTTTTGCCATTGTTGTTGTGATTATTTAACTGTTTTTTCATTGCTGTTGTGGCATGCTAAAACAAAGGCTTGCCATTCAACTTCGGTCATATGTTCTAGATATGATTAGAGTCACCTAGAAAAAAATGAACAAACAAAAACCAAATTGAAAATTCATTTAGGTGGAATTCACCTACACATTCATATTCATATATATATTAATTTGGTCATGAGGTTTTTCTTGTTCACTCTTAGTTAACTGATATTGATATCTGAGTGTCAAGCTATCAATACCATTTTTTATTGGTCAATTAAAAAGTTAGAAAATCGCATTCCATTTAGGGAAGTAAGAATAAAAAGTGAGATAGTATTGTTATCAAGGTAAAGAATTTAAAGCTTAAGGAAGACTTTAGTTTTTTTCATAAACAAATAAATATGCAAATAAAAGGTAAATACTAACATTTAAATAAAAGTCGAAACATGATAATTTGAACTATTTATAAATGTTCGTACATTGAATTCATAAGCCAAACTTTAATGTTTCCATTAGTATATACAACTGAAATCATAATGCTGAATATTCATAACTTGGGTTTAAATTAAAATCAATTAAACATTTTATGTATATAGGTAATCTAATAATTCAGTTCACTATAATTTCTTAAGTTTATTTATAGTTCATTAAATTCACTATATTTTACTAATTCAACAACACCTTTAGTGTACCCATCTAAAAATATCCAAGCAATTCGATGTCAACCAAAAACAAAATATTATAAAAAATTTATTATCCATGGGCGACAGACAGATAGACAGAAAATGCAATATATAGAGGCGCACACGATCCGATTTGGGACTACATTAGTCTATATATAGGCGACTGTCATAACAGTATCCCCCGAATAGCCCCTTCCCCACACCTTTCCACCTTATAAAGCGGTTCTGTTCCAGTGACAAGCCAACAAAAACAATGGCAATACCAGCAACAACAATTCAAATTCAACTTGTTTTTGATTAGATCATTCGAGGCGAAATGTCAGTCAATAAAGGGTGGAAAGGAGGGGAAAGTGCGGGGTGGTTATACTTGGACACCGCCCCTTTTCGTCCCCCTCAGTTTAACCTGCTGTTGGGTGCGATAATTAACTGAAATAGACCCGTGACTGTCAGTCAGCCAGCCACAAGACATTCTACATAGCTATACATAAATATACACTATATGTGCGTACAGTGGGTTTTAAAGCTAATATAGTTTTTAGTCATATAGCTTCATTTCATTTAAAAGTTAATAAAGGTAATTCGAATTGCTTATATACATACATACGAACAATGATTTATTCATTTTATTATTTTTTTAAGACCTTACTTAGTCCAATATTTTTATACTTTAAAAACTTGTTATATTTTTAATGAATAGTAAAATCTAACAATTTTTTTTTAATATTGTCTAGTATATTATATTATATTATACTTTAATAATCATTTGTAGCTCAAATAGAATCAAAAAATTGTAAAAGTTAAGAATGGTAGAAACAAGCCATGTATCTTCGTGCTCAATTAAAAACTTTGTATACTCTGGAACGCACTGCATTTCTAAAGATATGTGGATATATAATTTTATTTCTGCTGGCGTGTGGGTG